AGGTGCTGTTTCTGCAGCGGCGGTAACTCAGCTGCATTGTCCGTTAGCACCCCAGGTTTATATAGGGACGGAGAATACCGTCCCAGATGTGCGGTGGGCGACGTCTGCTTGACAGGGAATCACTTGTAACTGCGTGGCTGTGGGTTACGAACATTTAGACCGGTGGTACTTGTGAGGTCTGGTGTTGGGTGGGGAAGCCCAGGTCGGGGGAAGCCAGGAGTGTGCCCAGCTGGTGCAGGACTCGGTTTAAAGGTGTGGGCAGTGGCACTCCCAGAAGACTGCGTGGGCAGGTTTACTGCGGGGCCAGTCCAGAGGGCTCCCTGTCCGTCCTCACGGGGCCCTCCTGGTTGAGCGGGTGGAGAGCGTTTCGCCCGCGCATAGCAGGCGCACACTCAGTGTGTGGTGGGTGGTCGGATTTCCCGGGAGGACAGAGTGCAAGCATCTGACATCTCGCAGACCTAATTCTAAATTCCCAGGAGAGCAGCTCAAGTTTGCTCAGTTTTTCTTTCTTTTTTTTTTTTCCCAGGGGGTGCCAGTGCAGGTGTGGTCAGGCTTCCGGTCTTCTGGGGCTCCTGGGGGTGGGGGTGGGGCTGGTTAGCTCTCAGAGAAGGCTGGTGTCACCAGGAAGACCCGTGGAGAGCTGTCTGTGTCGACTCTAACCCCTGCCCACAGGCCTGGCCAGTGCAGAATCCAAGAGGAGTGTGAACTGGCAGAAGTTTGTACTCGCCAATTTTAACAGGGCTTTTTAGCAATATCTATAGAAATAAGTATTTTCTGGTCTAGTTACAGAATTAAAATACTTGATTTTTAATAATCAAGCATGTTAACACTTAATGTGGGAAAATGGTGGTCCCAAGTGGCTGGTAACTGATTTTTCCTGCTCTTGCCTTTGCCAGTTTGGTTTTTAATTTAGTAGGAACTGGTTGTCTGAATTTAAATTAATGGGGCTTGCCCCAGCTGCTGTGGCTCAGTGGACTGAGCACCGGCCTGCAAACCAAAGGGTCGCTCACCAGTTCGATTCCCAGTCGGGGCACACGCCTGGGCTGCAGGTCCGGTTCCTAGTGGGGGGGCGGTGTGTGCAGGAGGCAGCCACACGTTGGTGTTTTGCTGCCTCTCTAAAAGTACATAAATAAAGTCTGAAAAGAAGATAAAATTAAGTTAATGGTGCTAACTCTGTAGCTGTGTAGGTCGCGTGGTTGTGAAGGTGGCCCCTGGGCTGTGTTTGGACGTGTCTGTGGGGTCCGTGGCCAGGTGAGGGCCTGCACGGAGCTGCAGTCCAGCAGTGTCCAGCACTGGGCCAGAGGGCAAGGGTCTGTGTGGCCGGGGGTGGCTCCCGTCGTCTCTGGACTGGATGTACACGGCGGCATCGTGTCCAGCCTGTCCTCAGCTGCGCGCACGGCCCGTCCCCGTGCTGGGCACACAGCAGTGCCTCAGATAAATGGGGTGGACACACGAGTGTGTCAGTTTTCTCTCGTCACTTTAGAACATTACCACAAATGTCGTGACTTAACATAACACAAGTGTACTCTTGCGGTCCCGGGGGATCCGGAGTGTGAAATGAGTCTTGCTGGTGTAGGTTGAGATGTCAGCAGGGCTGAGGTCCTTCTGGAGGCTCGTGGGGAGCCGTTTCCTGGCCTCGTCCGGCTGCTAGAGGCGCCCCCAGTGCTCTGCCCGAGGCCCTTGCCCATCGCAGAGAGGACCTCTCCACTGTCACACCTTTCTGACCCTGGCCCCCCTGCCTCCCTCTTCCGAGGACCCTTATGATGACATGGGGCCCTTGAGGATAACCCAGGGTCATCTTCCCGGCTCAAGACTCTTAATTCAATCACACCGCAGAACACCTTTCACCGTGTACAGGTGCATACTCACAGCTTCTAGGAAGCAGGACACCAGCACGTTGTCACTCATCCTGCCCCAGAGTTTGTGGAGGATGAAGTGGTTCCTAAGCATCCCCAGCATAGTCAGTGGATGACTCCTACTGGTGAGGAAGAGACATCTGTTCTGCCCTGGCCAGTGTGGCTCAGTGGGCTGAGCGCCGACCTGTGAACCGAAAGGTCTCAGGTTTGATTCCCAGTCGGAGCACATGCCTGGCTGTGGACCAGGACCCCAGTCGGGGGTGTGTGAGAGGCAGCCAATCTGTGTTTGTTTCTCTCACACATTGATGTTTCTCTCCCTTTCTTCTCTCCCTCCCTGCCCCCGCTCTCTCTGGGGGGCTGGGGAAGACATCTGTTCTGTCCTTTTGCCAGGGCCTCCCTGTTCTGGCAGGCCCCCTGGGGCCTGCTGGAGCTTCATGCCTCCTGCTGAGCGGGGGTCCTCTCAGGCTGCCTGTCTGTTTCCCACCTGGGACCTGGAGCTTGTTCACGGCCTTTTAGATCCGGGGTCCGCAAACCTTTCCTACATGCAGCTTTGCAGCCACAGTCTTTGTTGTGTATTTTTTTTCAGACAAATATAAAAACATATATATTTTAAAAGATTTTATTTATTTTTAGAGAGAGGAAGGGATGGAGAGAGGGAGAGAAACAGTAATGTGTGGTTGCCTCTTGCACACCCCCTACCAGGGACCTGGCCGGCAACCCAGGCATGTGCCTCGACTGGGAATCGAACCAGTGACACTGGCTCACAGGTCTTTGCTCAATCCACTGAGCTGCACCGGCCTGGGCCAAAAAAATATATTTTTAAAGATTTTATTTATTTATTTTAGGGAGCGAAGGGAGGGAGAGAGAGGGAGGGAGGGAGAGAGAGAAAGAGAAACATAAATGTGCGGTTGCTGGGGGTCATGGCCTGCAACCCAGGCTGCAACCCAGGCATGTGCCCTGACTGGGAATCGAACCTGCGACACTTGGGTTTGCAGCCTGCGCTCAATCCACTGAGCTACGCCAGCCAGGGCTTAAAAAATATTTTAAAAATATCATTCTTAGCTTGAGGGTCTTACAGAAGCAGGCCATTGGCTGGGGCCTGGCCAGCGTTTGCTGACCCCTGTTCTAGCCTGCAAGCGCTATGGCGCCAGGGCCACATGCCGCTGTCAACGTGGCAGCACGTCTGGTTGTGTGTTGTGTGTGTTTGTGTCTGCCCGTGTGTGCGTGGTGCTGCTTCTGGTTCCAGCCCCAGTGATCTTTTCTGTGTGTTTGAGTTGACGGAAGCTTCTAAAAATCAGATCTAATCTAACCTAATTGGAGGATTTCAAGATTTGACGGCCTGTTTAATATGAGTCATTCTGGCCCGAATAAGGTCCAGTCCCTGTCCTTGGGGAGCTCGTAGTCCAGCCTGGGGAAGGGTGCTGTGACTGGTTATGAGTTGAGGGGTGGGGCAGGAAACCCCTGGGCACCAAGATCAGAACTGGGAAACTTGGAGCCCACCCCCCCCCGCCCACCCCGGTCCTTGCTGTTCTTTGCTCCTGGCACCCGACGCGGGCGCTGGGGAGGGCTGCTGGCTCGAGCGGCTCCGAGTGGAACCTGGGAGCAGCAGCAGCGGTTGGGGGTTCTGCAGGGTCCGTTCTTCGTCCAGCCCGTTCCCCGGCACGTTGCAGTGCGGTTGGCTTCCCGGGCTTGGCCGCCGACTCGAGCCTGCCTCCGCCCAGTGGCTGGCCGGACTGGGATCTGGTGGGAAGGAAGTCAGTGCCCGGCTGGCGAGGGCAGCTAACACCACGTGGGAGGTGACTCCCGCATGCACACCCAGCTCACGGCGCTCGCCCTCGGGTCCGTCCGAGTGCGTTCTCCGTGAGCGTTCTCTGGTGCGGACTCACGTGCCTGTCAGTCAGGGTTTGTCAGGTGGGGGGGCTGGGTCTGCCCAGTTACGTGCCAGAACGAAGTTCGCTCACATCCGGCACCGTTCCCGGGCTCATCCGCGCCAGGGGTGTGGAGTCAGCGTCTCCTTTCTCACTGTTGTGGGGGTCCAGTTTGTAAGGGTGCTTTACAGCCTTGGGCCGTAACGTGTCGAGTTTTATCTCAGCATCTCGGGGGTGTGCAGTGCCTGTGCGGCCCGCGGCCCGCGGGCCTCGTTCGGAACAGGGTGAGGTGGCAGACAGGCCGCTGCCACCTCTGTTAGTTAGCGGACGTTGTTACCATCACCTCCGGTTTGTCGTTAGAGAGGTGTCAATGTGCCTGACTCGGCGCTTTAGCTCTCTTCTCGTACGTCAATTCTAGTGGGAAGTAGTGGGCACTCACGCGGGAAGAGCCTGTAGCCACGGTTGAGCGTAGGATAAGAGGCACTGAAGCCTAATCCTTGGTGCCTGGCACGTGGCAGGCACTCACCTAGTATTTGAATGAAGGAGCGAATGAATGAACTAAAGAGGAAAGTGCTAATAGACTTACAGACTGCGTGGGAACTCAGTGGTGGAGGGCAGCTTCTTTCTGGCGAAGGGCACTCCTGTGGATGGCACGCCCCCCAGGGGCTACCCTGGGGGGCACTTGCTTCTGTTTTCCACACCTGCACCTCCCCGGAGAGCCTGCTCCTGTCGCCTGAGCCCGAGTTTTTCCTCCAGATGCTGCTTCTGTGTTTTGAGGAGCGCATGTAGCCAACTGTCCTGGAAGATTTCCTGACTTTGGTTGCTTCCCTTTGGTTTGGTTTTGCTTGTCCTCGGAATGAACGGCCTTCCGCAGTGGGTCGTGTGCCTCTCCCCCACCCCGTGTGCCTGCCTGGTTTGTGGTGTTCCATGGAGGCGCTGCAAGGGACGCACATTTGATTTTTCACCTTGAAGAGAGGTCGAGTCACAGAGAGAGGACTCTGTGAGAGGTGACACTTCGGTGTCGTCGATGAGCAGCAGACTCCAGCCACTTGAGAGCGAGCGGGTGTGGGTGCGCGTTGGGGGCGGGGTCAGCAAGTCTACAGAAGTCTGCTCTTTAAGTACGAGCAAAACTGCCTGTGTGTGGTCAGGGCGTATTCCTGGGGGCAGAGTCCGCAGCTCCCTGTAGATCTTCAAGATCATCATGATCCCTAAAGGATTTATTCGCTGGATCAGAGGTTCCGGTGGACTGACTCCCTCTTTTTTTTCCATTTCAAAGGCAGATCGGGGGCGGTGCCTAGAAAAATTTCCTTACTAGATGACATTTCATCGCAATGTCCGATCGTTTGGGGCAAATAACCAAGGGCAAGGATGGGAAAAGCAAGTATTCGACTCTCAGCCTGTTTGATAAGTATAAAGGAAAATCAGTAGACGCGATCAGATCCTCAGGTAAGATAAGAACCCGGCTCGGAGGCCGGTCCTTCCCACTTTTCTTGTAGTGAGAAACTCCAGGGCAGGGGCAGGGAGAGGCAGAGGCCCAGGCAAATCAGCGTTCTGGGCAGACAGAGCTCACCCGGGAGTTCCGGGGAGCAGCCTCCCCCAGCTCCAGGCTGAGGTCTGATTTCAGAGGCTGGAATGCCCTGACTCTGCTGTAGGGGTTGTCCCCTTCAGTCACACTGAAACCATGCCTGTTTTTGGCCTGATGATTAGAGCGGAGCTTAATTTGCATTCGAGTTGCCCAGTTTAGGTGTCTCGGTTCCAGTGTTCTGGAACTTGGCGGGAAAGTCCCTGCCCACGCTCTCCGCTCCGCCCCCGCCCGTGAGGGTTTTGTGAGTGCTCAGGCTTGGCCCGGGTCTAGGCTGAGACTGTCCTTTTGGCCCGGCTGTCGTGCGGCCGGAGCAGTCTCAGCTTGCGAGAAGTGTTGACTGTGGGGGATGGAGGGTTCCAGGCCTGGCTCCTCACCCACGTCATGCACTCCCGAGCCCTCTCCTGCCCGCGAGCAGAACGCAAGCCTCTGCACAGGCTCCGGCAGCCCCTCTGGAGGGCGGGGTGAGGGCTTGTCACGTGATGAGCGTGACCTCCAGCACTCGTCTGTTTCCAGGGCCGGGCTGCCCCTTGCGTTTCGTGCTGTCACTTGGGGGTTGAAAGAGCAGCAGAACGATTCTGGCCTCTTTCTTTCTGTGCAACGCCTGTCTCCACCCCTGTTCTCCTGCAGTTATTCCTCGACATGGCTTACAGAGTCTCGGGAAAGTTGCCACAGCCCGGCGCATGCCACCGCCTGCAAACCTGCCAAGCCTGAAGTCTGAAAACAAAGGAAACGACCCCAACATCGTTATAGTGCCCAAGGACGGGACGGGATGGGCAAACAAGCAGGACCAGCAAGACCCAAAGAGGTGAGAGTGCCGCGGCCGGCGGCTCCGCAGCCTCGCCGTCTGCCCAGGGCCGGCTGAGCTGGAGCGCGGAGGTTCCCAGGGAGGTTCTTAGCCTGACCCCTGCTGCCTCGGGGTTTCTCACTCCCGCCTGCGTTTTTCCTGGCTCTTGGAGCCAGTGCAGCAGAATTTCTGTGAGCCGCCTGGTCCCCAGTGACCAGTGTCCCCTGTGCCTTATTAGGAAAGGCCTCATCAGCCCAGGGGAGCCTGTGCGGTCACCGAGGGCCAGTTCCTGCAGAGCCTCTGTGGACAGAGCTGGCGCTTGAACGCCTCATTCTGTGGTGGTCCGGGTGTGCTGGGCCCCAGGGTGGGAAGGCGGTTTTCCTGCCTGTGGCCCAGCAGCCTCCCTCCTGGAGGAGCCCGCTGCGGGTGCCCCGACACACCCAGGCATGAAGGAGGACAGCCCAGGGTCTGGCACAGAAGTCACCGTCAGACAGACCGCCACTGCCGGCGCTGCTGCTGCTGCTGCGTGGGGGGGCCGGAGCACGAGCACCCGAGCCCTCCTCCCCTTCGCTGCCTGTCTCCTCTGATGGGGCCCCGCCGGGGTAGGGTGTCCAGGGAGGAGGACTTGGGGCCTGCGCTGGGAGGGCTGAGCGGGGACAGGGCCATGCTACGGCCGGCAGGCAGACAGCCACCTGCGACCGGGGTTTGCCGTTTGGGAACGGGAGCGCCGCAGCCCTCCCAGCGCCTCCTGGCCTGGCTGCGGATGCTCAGGGCCAGACACAGCTGCTGACCAGAGTTCTCCTCTTGCTGGAAAGGGCTGTGCGAGCTTTTATGAGACTTCCTGCGCTCACTTCAGACGGGGTGTAGAGAGTGAGCGAATGATTCAGTCAGAGGGTCGTGCTGCACGAGCAGCTGAAAGAGAGAGGGCCTGAGGAGCGGATTCAGATTCTTTCTGACAGTGTGCTCAGGGATCGTGCTGCTTGATGGTGCAGTGCGGCTTCCGAAGGGGCAGGTGTGTGTGTGGTGTCCAGCCAGGTGATTCATCAGCTTCGTGGAACCTGGGGAATCGTGTGACGTCCGAGCTTCGTTGTCCTGTGAAGTGAGAACCTTGGCCCCGGGGGCGGCCGAGAAACGGGTGCGACGGCACCAGCCCAGAGGGAGCTCAGGGCGGAGGAAGTGCTGGTGGGTGTCGGCTCCTGCTGTCCTCACTCTAACGTGGACGCTGCACGCTCTGCAGTGAAAGGGCCATCGCATGTTCCAATAGGCTGTGAAATGCCTGTGCTGTCGAAAGTTCTAGAGAGGACCAGGTGCTGCCCCCTGCCTTCATCTGTGCTCACCAAGCATCGGCACCGGGTGGCGGCTTCCGTGAGGCTGGTTGGGGGGGCACATCTGCCGGGGAGGGGCAGAGTCGGCGCAGGAGACGGGAGGCGGCAGCCCCAGGCCTGGCCCACTGCTGTCCTGGGCCACGCCGGCCTTGGGGTGTCAGGGTTGGCACAGTGGGCAGGGGGCACAGTTGCGCAGTTGGAGAACACTTCAGTGACACTTCCCGGAAGCTTGCTGTAGGTATAGGTAGAGGGTCACGCGAGAGGGGATGAGTGGCCTTCATCTTGTGATGGTCACGTGTGGTGGTGAGTCAGTTGGGCTAAGTTAACTTGGAAGAGAGTCTGGAGCTTACAGATGAACCACCGGTGGCGGGCAGACTCCGGCCAAGTGGACGGTCGCCCTCCTCGCACCCCGTGGGGAGGAGGGTCCGTAGAGAGGGCGGCTGGGAGGCTGCCGAGACCCAGAAGCCTGCCTTCGGGCCCCTCTGCCTCCTGCTCCGGGGCCGCCTGTGGGGTGTGAACTGACCGGCCTCCTTGGGAGGGCAGTGTGGCGGTGTCTTACATTTCTGGACGGCTTTGACCCAGCGGTTCCATTTCTGAGAGTGCACACTACTGAATTGCTTCACGAAAGCGTGCGAAGATACAGAAATGCTCACTGCAGCTCTGTCTGTGATAGAGAAAAGTGGAGGTCGGTGCATCAGGGCCACCAGTCGTGCTGGGTCCCTGAAAGGCCGAGGCGGGTGCCCGCGTGCTGTCACGACGAGATGGTAGAGGGAGTGGAAGTGGGGTCACGGAGCTGACAAGTGGCGCTGTTCCACGCGAGTTAAAAAGACTGTGTTTTGTAGAGGAGACTCTGCTCCGAGTTCTCTCTGGAGGCTGAGGTCACGATCAGTTCTGTGCTATATATGTTTATCAATTTATTTTACTATGGGCGTGTATTTTTTTACAAGCCAAGATAAAGTTTTAAAAAATTTGCTGTTTCAAAGCATTTGGCCCCCTGAGTTGCTGTGAGCTCTTGGTCAGGGGGTCGGGGTCCAGAGCCCCCTCCCCGCAGTGACTGTCTCCCCGTTGGCAAAGACTCCGTGACTTCTCGGCTCTCAGTGAGCTTTCAGCTGCTGCAGACAGAGGCCCCACGGGGGCAGAGGGCTGTTCTGCCCTGTGAGGGGTCCGTGAGCAGGCCTCGGACATGGTTCAGTTCTCTTTGGTCTTCGCCACCTTACTTAAGTGTCTGCTGGGGAAGGTGCCGCTTCTACTGGCTGGAGGATGGCTGCCCCCAGGAGGCAGCTGTGGGTTTAGAAAGAGGGACCAAGTTGTTGCGGCCTGTTCCAGGTCTGACCCTCGCCCTTTGTCCCTCTGTCCAGTTCCAGTGCGACGGCCTCTCAGCCGCCGGAGTTGCTGCCGCAGCCGGGTTTGCAGAAATCTGTCTCCAATTTACAGAAGCCGACACAGCCAATCAGTCAGGAGGTAGGTGCTGGGGGCCCACCCTGATGCTGTCCCGACGGCGGAGCCGCCTGACAGCCTGCTGCTAGGGTGGGAGCTGTCGCCGGGAGGGTGGTTTTGCATGACTTGCTTGTGCCAAGGGCAGACCCGATGGGGACTTTGGGAAAGGAGTCCAGGAGACTGTGGTGGTCAGAGAAGCAGTGATGTAACCTGCACCTTCTGGAGGAGACCCCCGCTAGACAGAATGCAGACGCCCAGTTTGGTTCCTGTTGGCTTCGTGGTGGTGAGGCCGCCCAGGCTAGGCCGGGTTTGCTCCGGGTTCCCCTAGATGTGCTCTGCGGAGTCTAGTGCCGTACGGCAGACGGAGAGTGCTGGGCGCGAGAGAGGCGAGTCGGGGAAACGAAATCCAGCTGGCTCCCCTGCTGCTGGGTGTCTTGTCCGGCCTGGAACATGCTCACGTGTGCCCCGGCTGGTTGGGAAGACGGCCTCGGGACGGCGGATCCCAGACTGGTTTGTCCCGGGGACCAGCGGTGCCTCAGAGCACACCTGGGAAGCACCCGGCTGTCATCGGTCGTTTGCTTGTTCGTGCATTTAGATGCCGTTCTGAACAGAGACGTGTGTAACTGAGCAGGAGCTGATGCACGCAGGCCCCTGGGGCCTGGGGCTGGGCTGCAGGGGCCGGCAGGGGCTTGGACTCAGCGGGGAGCCGGAAACCTGGCTGAGCGGCGTTGAGTCTTTTAGATGGAAAGAAACCGGGACACGGGGACCCGGCATTCACCAGCTCTCTGACAACAGCTCATACTGCAGTTTCGTTTTGCTGCCTGGGCAGTAGGGGTCCGAGAAGGCCCCCTGCAGCTCCCCGACACCAAACTGCGCTTCTGAAATTAAAGGGAAAAAAGAGAAATCCCGTCACGTCAGGCGCCATAGTTATTGGCACAGATCCGGCGGGACCTGTTGAGTGTGTGGAGTTGAGCGGGTGTGTGTCCCAGCGTTTGGAACTGACAGCTCCCTGCGGCTGTTGCCTGGTTTTCTCCTGTAGGCAGAGGTGGTAAGAAGGGGCCCCCAATATCTAGAACCTCACCTCAGAGGTTACGCAGGAGCTCTGCTCTCGGGACGAGGTTCGCCGGCAGTGTTCGTGGCCCCCTGGGCCTGCAGGCGTGCCCCTCCACTGTCGGGCCTTCGGTCACAGGCTCCAGGTGGCCGCTCTGAGGCCTTGGGCCTGGCGCACCCTGCTCCCTGCTCGGTCGGGACGGGCGTCCCTCCTCGAGGGACTGTCCAACCCCAGCTGTCCGCCCCTCGAGTGTGGTCTTGTGGGGAGACGGGGGGCACTCCGGGCCACTGTGTCAGCAGTCTGAACAGCTCCTGAGGAGCGAATGGGTTGTTAGCGGGTCAGCCCTGCACTGAAGCAGGCAGTGGCCGCCCCGAGGGTGGCGGCCACTGCGGCGGGGTGTGGACTGGCAAGGAGGGTTGTGGGAAGGGGTAGTTGTCTGACCTGGTGCCTAACCTGGTGCCAGCATAATGCCTACCCGCAGGGAGCTTTGATAAGCAAAGGCTATCAGCCGGACCGAGGCCGAACCAGGCAAGTCCTGCTTCGTGGGGAGCTGTGCCTCGTGGGGCGGCAGTGGTTAGGAAAGGGGTGCAGTGGGCCCTCCAGCTGAGGGTTGGCTTTCCCGAGTTTGTGTTCTGGTCCCCATGGTTTTGGCCCGGGGTTCTGAGACCCGTGCTAGAATTAGGCTTGTTCTCTGCCTCTGGAGCAAGCAGGGCAGCTTTGTGCGGGCAGGCGACCTGACGGCGTGAAGGCGTGAGTCCTGGCTTGGCCGTGTAACTCACGGTGCGACTCCAGACCGGTCACTCCCCCTCCATCCCACCCTCGTCGGAACGTGGCACCTTGTCCCAGCTTGCTCGGGGGCTGGGTGGCAGACCGATGGGGCCGGCTCTCTCCTCATTCTCTTCCCTTTTTCAGAACACAAATTCAGTGCCAGGTGGACCAAAGTCATGGGCACAGCTGAATGGAAAGCCAGCAGGACACGAAGGTGGTGAGTGAGTGAGCGAGGGGGCACTGGGTGCTGGGCAGGAGGGACGCGCACCTTTTCCGGTCCGCTCCAGTGGGCCTGGCTCATCCTTGGCCCAAAGCTCTGCGGAGTCTCTCACCTGGGAGTCACTGCTCTGGGGGATGGGACCCTCACCTTTGCGCCAGGTGAGGAAGCGCTGATTCTGGAGGCGTGTCAGCTCTTGGGTCTCATTGGGTGTTAGGGCTAAAACTCCCTTCTGAGGGGTGTGGGGGGGGGCCTGGGCAGCTGGCCCGCCGCTCCGTCCTTCGGCTGTGCCGCCAGTGGAGTACACGTCACCTCCTCTCTCCGGGGGCCACAGGGAGGTCTTGTGAGGCGTGCTCGCCTCAGGCCTGGGTTTATAGACCAGCCAGCCCCGTGGACCGAGCCACCCGCTGCTGGGCAGCACGGCCGAGCGCTCAGAGGGCGGCGTGGGGTGTGTCGCCGTGGGTGCCGGGCCTGACCTGGGGCACGTGGAGGTGGGGGCGGCCAGCTGCTTTGGTCCTGCAGTGGGGGAGTGGGGGCAGGAGCGGAGGGGGCATCGCTCAGGGTTCCACGTAAACACGGAACAAGGCAGGCAGACAGCTCCCGCGTCCGGGCTGGAGCGGTGGGGCTGGAGCGGAGGTCACCAGGCTCCCTTCCGGCGGGCGACTGCTGCCCATCAGAAGGCAGGCCCAGAGTTAGCAGTGTTTTTGAGAGAAGCCAGAAATCCAGATTTTTCTTTTTCTTTTCTCTCTCTCTCTCTCTTTTTTTTTTTTAAAGATTTTAGAGGGGAAGGGAGGGAGGAAGAGGGAAAGAAACATCGATGCGCGAGACGTGCGTCAATCAGCTGCCTCTTACACGCCCCCAACCAGAGACCTGGCCCACAACCCAGGCATGTGCCCCGCCTGGGGACTGAATGGTAACCTTTTGGTTTGTAGGCTGATGCTCAATCACTGAGCCACACCAGCCAGGACCAGGGAGAGAAACATCCATGTGTGGCTGCCTCTCGAGTGGCCCCCACTGGGGACCTGGCCCACAACCCAGGCCTGTGCCCTGACTGGGAATCGAACCGGTGACCCTTTGGTTTGCAGCCTGTGCTCAATCCATTGAGACACACAAGCCAGGGCTGCTTTTCTTTAATTCTTTCTTTTTTTAAAAAATATTTTATTTATTTTTAGAGAGGGGGGAAGGGTGGGAGAAAAATATCAGCGTGAGAGAGAAACATCAGTCGGTTGCCTTTTGGTTGCCTTTTGTACGCACCCCACACACCTAGAGCCCAGGCATGCGCCCTGACCAGGAACGGAGCTGGCGACCTTCAGTCAGGGCCAGACGTCCCAGACTTTCCAGCTCTTCTGACTTTCCCACGTTAGCTCGAATACTTCTGGCACCCTGTGCAGACCAAACCAGGCGCTGCCCCTGGGCTGGCTTGGGCGTGGTGGTGCGAGGGTGAATCTGGAGAGCAGCGTGAGCTGCCTTGTCCGAGCTCGGCCTTTGGCGTGGCCATGCCAGCCCAGGCTTCGCCTGGCCTAGCTTTTATTATATTAGAAAAAGAGCTGCATGTCTTGTCCTGCCTTCCCTGATCTCCCCCACCCCCGCCCAAAGGACACGTCCCTTACAAGTTGGCACCACAGGGTAGTTGACGGCTCGCTCCTCAGTGTCCAGGAGGAGTGACAATGCCAGTCTGTGTGCCAGTGGAGCTGTGGGTACAGCCCCAGTGCTCCTGGCTTCACGCAGGCCAGGGAGGCTTGGTCCTGCCCCTGTGGGTTCTCCGGTCTGGAGGGGGAGGGGCTGGGACAGGCAGAGCAGGTCCCTCAAATCAGGTCTCTGCCTAGGTGTATTAATGCGCACTTGCTGGACTGTTCACACTGGCTCTTTGGCTTTCTGCAGCCTGGGATTTTAAGTAAATCAGATGTGTCCACTATTTTTTTTTAAAGATGTTATTTATTTTCAGAGTGGGGAAGGGTAGGAGAAAGAGAGGGAGAGAAACATCAATGTGTGGTTGCCTCTCGGGCACCCCCTACTGGGGAACCTGGCCCACAACCCAGGCATGTGCATTGACTGGGAATCGAACCAGTCACCCTCAGTCCACCGAACCACACCCGCCAGGGCTCATCTTGCGAATTCTTAACATAATGCAGCGACTGTGGGAGTCAGAGCCCCCTTCACAGCACAGTGGGGCTCCTTTGTGACCCTTGGAGACAGCCTCTCAGGCTCATCGCCGCCGAGGGGTGTGTCCAGTAGTGGTCCTGGCAGGCCTATCTGGCCCTGGACCTTTTCACTGAGTGGGATGGCGAGTGAATTGCCGCCTGTGCTTCAACTCTGATCCCACTGCGCCTCCTGGCAACTCGGCCCAGGTAACAGGTCCATGCACCGGTGGTGCCGAGAATGTGCCAAGGGCGGTTTAGCTCTGCTGCCCAGGGAGCAGGGCGTGCCACAGCCGGGCGCTGCGCTGTGTGACTCGGCTGCTCACGTGGCGCAGGGCATGTGCGTGTGCTCCGGATGGAGGGACCAGCTCCCCGTCTGGGCCCTTCCCCGGGTCGTTTGCTGCCTCTTCACCTGGGGCAGGACTGCAGGCTCCCCTTGCTGAGCGCTGTGAGCGGGAGGCACGGAAGGACGGAGAGACTTCTCTAGAGCGGTTTCTGGTGCTGGTGGCTGAGCGACAGAACGAGGAGACTGCTCCCAGGGTCACAGCAGTGGAGTGTTTGGCCTCGCAGGGCTGGGGGAATGCTGTGGAAAATGGTGACCTGGGCAGGTCAGAGAAATGAGCAGGTGCTCGTGAACGTAAATCTGGGGCTGAGGTCTCTGGGGTCAGGGGGCACCTGCTCTTCGCATTACCTCCACATGACGCTGACTTTGCCAGAGACCACCGTCCAGGCCTCCAGGAGGACCTTACTGTCTTCTGCCAGGAGCCGGGGGGACCTGGGCTGGAGCAGCTACAGTATCTCCCCCCATGCCCTTTGCACCTAGCCCCCGTCGGGTAGTGTCTGGGGACCCTCGGGGAGCCCAGCGCCTCTCTGACCGCACAGAGGCCAGCCCGCCGCAGCGCGCTTCCAAAGCCCCCTTCCGGCCAGCGTGGCCCTCAGTGCGTGGAGGTGCTGAAGCCAGGGACTGCTGTGCCGACCTCACGTGCTCCATAAGTCTTTCCGGTTTTCTTAACAGGTTTAAGGGCCTCAAGCCGACTCTTATCCTTCTCTCCCGAGGAATTTCCGACGCTGAAAGCAGCTGGAGGGCAGGACAAGGCTGGCAAAGAAAAGGGCGTCTTAGATCTGTCGTATGGGCCAGGACCAAGCCTCCGCCCTCAGAGTAAGTGACCTGCAGCCCCTTGTGGGCACATGTGGGGACAGCAGGATCACTCCTTCCCTTCCTGCTCTCTCAGGACAGAGTGCATGGGCTCTCAGACAGCTGTCGCTCTGGGGCTGGCTCCAGGCCTGGAGAGCGCGGTTGCTGACGCCGTGCCCGGCCCTGCGTCTGCTGGGCGCATTCCCCTGGCTGGTCTGCAGGCCATGCCTTTCTTGGCCTTCGGGTCAGGCGGGCCTGTGTGCCTCCCCAGCTGTCATCAGACAGTTAGGTCTGCTGTGCTTGGTGCTCACGGTGAGGCCGGCCAGCCCCGGTGCCTGGTTCAGGAGCTGGTGCTCTAAGCCCTTGGTTCCCAGAGCAGCTGCATCCCGTCAGGATCACTGCGGGGTTTGTTAAAGGTCTGCCTTCCAGGCCTCCCCACCCCCAGCCACTCTAGCATATCTGTTCTGCAGTGCGCTCCCACAGGTGGCCTGCTCCGCACTGTCTCCAGGCCGCCCCCCCCCTTTGGGGTCTGGCCAAGGAGTCGGCAGGATTGTGAGGTGATACTTGCTGTTAATATTTTTTTAGAGGCCTTGGGTGGTTAGAGTTGAAGGTGTTTAGGAAAGAGATTTTCTGTCTGTTCTCACCGGAGACTGAAATGACTCTTGGTTTTGGGGGGGTGGGGGGAGGTGTTTGGGGATGTGCTTGATCAGGTCTTGAAACGTGAGGCACATGTGTTTGCTTGTCTTGCTGACGTCCCGAGGCAGCTGGCGTCAGCCGGCGCCCCGCAAGGGAAGTGCTCTCTGCGGCTCTGCTTCACACCACGCCTCCTCAGGGGCCTTCTGTCCGTTCCAAATGTGTCTTCAGGTTCCTTGGGCCAAGAATTATAACTTTCTGCATTTAATTAAGATGAGTTGTGACTGGCGTATCTCTCCACAACATGTCCCTCTCCTTTCTTGGAGAGTGAGTAAGAATTTTACCCTCTACGCCCCCCAAAAAAAGTTGCTTTATAGGACTACAAAAGTTTACAAGTAGGAGAAGCTTCTAGGAGCAGTGCCATCTCCTCACCTGGGAGACGAAAGAGCAGACAGCGGGGGTGGCCACCGAGAGAGCACGCGTGAGGGCAGGTCGAAGAGCTAGGGCGGAACCCAGGCTCGTGGCTCCTGTCCTTAGGGGTCGCATACTCGGGGACTTGGTGTGTTTCACCCCCGAACCACAAGTGGACTGTGGAGGGGAGTCACTGGACTCACCCGGCTCCCCCTTGGCCTGCAGTCCCCCCAGGTCTTGCTGCACTTGGCAGGGGACAGTGCTGTCCTCAAAGGGAGCCAGAGGGCCAGCAGGCCTGCACCTGTGCCCTGCGGGAGGGCCTCTCCGGGCGGTGCGGGAACAGGCAGGGTGAGCGCAGGCCCTGCTTTGTCTCACGAACTGGGGAGGTCTCTGACTAGAGGTGCCGTGGCTAAACAGAATTTGAACACGTGTCAGAAGTCGCGGTGCCTTAATGTCAAGTCCAGAGTGGAGCACAGTGCGACCCTGCCTGGGCTGGGTCGGTGTTCGTGGAAGAAATCCCCCAAGGCTGTTTCCGCCGGGGCGCCCGGCCCCGGTCCCGGTCCGTGGGCTGCTGGCAGTGCGGCTCGACCAGCCCGGGAAGACCACGCCTCGTCCGCCCTGCCTGCTCCCCGAGTGGGCCTCGTCTGGTGTTTCTCGAGAAACCAGCCCGCCCTCAGCACGTCCGTGCTCATTGGCCCGGTGTCTGCCCCGCCCGTCCCACAGACTTGACCAGTCACCTCGGCTCTTCACTTTTTGTTTGGTTTTTGTTCTTGCTTGCGGGTATTTTTGTTTTTGTTTTTGTTTTTGTTTTTGTTTTCTGGATGAGGGGGGTCCCTTGACCTTCAGAACCTCATAAAATCCCTCCTTCCCCCTCTTTCCTCTTCCTTTTTGCCCCCTTTCAATTTCCAGATGTGACAAGCTGGAGGGAGGGCGGTGGGCGAAACATAATTTCTGCCACGTCTCTGAGCGCCTCCCCAACTGAGCTGGGCAGCAGGAACTCGAGTGCGGGAGACGGAGCCCCCTCCTCGGCAGGCGCCAGCGATTCTAAGGACCCCTCTCTCCGCCCGGCTCAGCCTGCTCGCAGAGGGGCTTCACAGTTTGTGGGGAACGCATACCACCCACCTACATACCATGACATGCTTCCTGCTTTTGTAAGTCTCCGGAGTGTGCGTTTTCCCCACGAAGTCGGCGAAGTCGGCCCGTTCGCGTCCAGCAGAACCTGCGTCACGCGGCTGAGCGCCCCCCTTGGGCCCTCCCTCCTGGCCCCCCTCCGAGCTTCCCGCCCGTTTTGCGCACTCTGCCCCTTTCCAAACCCCGAGGGCCTCTGGCCGCCTTCCCTGGCCACGTGGATGGGATTTCAGCCTTGGCTCTGCAGAGAGGGGAAAGGCAGGTTTTCCCCAAGCCTCAAGTCCCCAGATGTGCTTACAGCAGGAGAGAAATGGGGGAGATGGTGGCAGGATCGAATGGGAAACCCCAAGACTTGCCTGTTTCTTTTTCCTGCTTTTCGTTTTCCGAAACCAGTTCTGATGGGAGTGGGCCTGAGCTGTCAGGTCGCTGCCCGGAAACCCTGTTCGTTCGTGTTGTGTTTCAGATGTGTTCGCCACAGTCCTCAGAGAACCAGGGAACAGCGGAACGAGGATCTTTCCCCCTCCCCCAGCTCCGCCTAGAGCCCCGTGTCCCTTTTAGGCAGTTCCAGATGAACGACCAGGACGGGTAAGGCCGCTGCACTGCAGGCATGCACGCAGAGGCAGCCCCGGGGTGGGACGGGACAGGATAACGGGCTGCCGTGTCCTCTGGGGACCACGGTGCCCCTGGCGACCGGCGCTGAGCCCCTGGGTGTGGGGTGGCAGGGATGGGGCCCGGGTGAGAGCCTGGGTGATGCCTTCGGTCCCTGGCAGCGATAAAATGTTGTCGTGTGCTGGTTGCCACCACCCTAGGCATTAGCACCAAGTGACAGAACTGCAGATGAGGCGGGACTTCTCTCTGCCGTGTGTTTATTGCATATTTCTCTCCAGAGGAGACAGCTTAAATACTGAATGCAAATGGGAACCTCTGCAGTCTAGGGCTTGTTTTTTGAAAGGTATTTGGTTTTGCTTCCGTATGTGTAGAGTCTTTACTCGTTTCTCTCTCACCAGAAAAGAGAACAGGCTGGGAATGACTCGCCCGCCCCGCCCCCTGAGGCAGCTGGTGGAGCGTGCTCCGCGGCCCACCATCATCACGGCGGAGAACCTCAAGGGCCTCGACGACCTGGACACCGACGCCGACGACGGCTGGGCAGGTGGGCGGTGTTTCTGGGTGGGCTTCCGCCCGTGGGTGTGGAGAGGCAGGACCGAGGTCCATCTCCGCTGAGCGAGGCCCAGACTCCGTGCTCTGTCTTGTGGCTTCCTGGGCCTGCGGGGACTGGGGCACGGGGCTGGGAGCGGCTGCAGGGCCCCAGTAGACCCCTGTGGGCGGTCAGCCGGTCTTTTGGTCTTTGGTCTTGATCTTAGAGCCATGGTAGATTTTGCTGTTAGCATTTCTTAAGATTTCTTTATAATGGAAAAGGTAAACCAAGCAAAAGAGTGTGATGAGCTCCCAGCCTCCGCAGGTCCTGCCTTCAGCCTTCCTCGCTGGCTCTGTCCCCCCCAGTTGCATTCTTTCACGCACCTTTGTTTGTTTTCAAGTACGTTTTCATCACCGTGAAAGACGCCCATCTCAATCGCACAGTTTCAAACCGTTGAAACCTGTGTGGCTCACCCCTGTGAAGGCAGAGGGCCTTCGCCTTGGCACCCCCGCCCCTTCCTGTCAGCCCCCCCATGCCATCTGGGCCCCCCTCTTCTGGGGGTCTCACTGGAGGTTAGCTTTGCCTCCAGCAGAGCTGAGGCCGGTGGAGCCGCGCTGCTGTTCCTCTGGTGGCACGTCTGTGGATTTGTCGGTGTTGATAGATACAGATGTGTACACACACACACACCCCATAGTTGCTTTTAATTGCTGGGATCTATTTCATTGTATCAGTACACTGTGATTTGTGTTCCCATTCAGAAGTTCCGTCGTGAATGGCGTTCTCATTTCTCTTGAGTCAGTGTCTGGGAGCGAAGTACTAGGTCTAGGGTAGGCAGGTGGCGAGGTTTACAAGGACTCCCCAGACCGTGTCCTGGTGGCCTTCCCGCCTCCCCAGCTGCGCTCACAGCGCTCCCTGCCAGCCTTCGCGATTTCCGCCGTCCCAGCAGTGGTGCGTCAGGGTCTCGCTGTGTTTTTACTCTGCATTTCGCGAATGGCCGGTGGCGATGGACATGTTTTCATGTGCTACTGGGTGGCAGGTACAGCTCTGTTTTTCTTCATGAGTGGGACAAGCCCTTTGCAACTCACATTTCACACACAGTGTCCCCCGTTGCCTGCCTTGGCCATTTTTAGTACTGTTTTGATGAGTAGAAGTTTTTCATTGTGACGCAGTTTCTGAGTTTGTGTTTTACGGTTATTACTTTTGTGTCTTGTCTAAAAAAATCTTTGTGTGCCCTCCCCCACACTGCCCTTGGTAGTGAAAATACTCCCTTATGTTTTATAGTTCGTTTGTTTTTAAGATTTTACTTATTTTTAGAGAAAGGGGGAGGGAGGGAGAAAGAGAGGTAGAGAAACATAAGTGTGTGGTTGCTTTTCAAGTGCCCCCTACTGGGGACCTGGCCAGCAACCCAGGCTTGTGCCCTGACCAGGAATTGAACTGGTGACCCTTTGGTTTGCAGGCTGGTGCTTAATCTACTGAGCCACACCAGCCAGAGCTATAGTTTTTTGTTTTTGTTTTTAAGATTTTATTTACTTGTTGTTAGAGAGAGGGGAAGGAAAGGAGAAATAAAGGGGAAGAAACATCGATGTGTGAGAGAGACATTGATCAGTTGCCTCTCGCACAACCCCAACTGGGGACCTGGCCCACAACCCAAGCATGTGCCCTGACTGGGAATCGAACCGGGGACTCTGTGGTTCACAGGCTGGTGCTCAATCCACTGAGGCACTCCAGCCGGGACATGTTTTATAGGTTTAAGTCTTTATTTTTGGGTCTGTGATCCGTGTTGAATTAATTGATGTGTGTGTTATAAGATAAGAGTTGAGATTTATTTTTTTGTGTAAGAATATTAGTTGTTCTCCACCATTTGTTTGTAAGACTTTCCTTCCCCTATTGAATTGCTTTGGCATCTTTGCCAAAAATCAACTGACCTGGTAAGCGTGGGGCTATTTCTGGACCTGTTTACCCTGCGGTTTGTTTATTCATCCTTATGCCAGCCCCAGACTGTAGCTTTTAGTAACCCTTCCAGTTACATCGTGTAAGTTTTCCAGCTTTTTAAAAAATTGTTTGACAATACTAAGTTCATTTCATTCCCATATAAATTTAGAATCAGCCTGGCAGTATTTACAAAAAGCTTGCAGGCATTTTGGTGAGGACTGTATTGAATTTATTTCTGTGTAAATGACGTCGTAACTTTGAATCTTCCACCCAGGAGCCTGGTGGATCCGTGAGGGCTCCGTTGCTCCCAGCAGCTTTCACAGTTTTTAGGGTGGAGGCCTTGACCATCTTTTAAGTTTATTCCTTAGTATTTTATAGTCCTTGATGCCATTATAAATGGCACTGCTCATTTTTTTAGGTTTTGGTTTTAAGTGTCTGATGTCATTATGTAGAAATACAGCGGATTTTTGTGGATTTTCTGGTACCTTGTACCAGACACTTTGATGAATACATTCATTAGTTTTACTAGTTTTTGTTGATTTCTTAGCATTTCTCGCTGAACAGTCATTTGCCCATAAATAGGGACAGCTTTATGTCTTCTTTTGCAGACTACATGCCTTTTCTTTTTCTTGCTTTATTGTGGCATGTTACTTCCAGTACAACACTATGTCAAGTTCTTTGTTTCTGATCTCAGGGATGAATGTAAGACTTTTCCTATCTTCGTGATCATACAGTTTTTCTCTTTTATTTTGGAAATCTTGTGGATTGTATTGATTTATTTTTTAATGCTGAACCATCCTTGCATCCCTAGACTAAACTCGCTTCTGTGTGCCTTGATTCAGTTTGCTGGTATTTCTTTGATGGAGGTTCTTGCTGTCTCTGTTTATGGTGGATATTGGTCTATAATTTTTTTTCCTTTTACTGTCTGTCGGGTTTTGATACCAGGTTATGGTGGGTTCATGAGATGACTCGGAAAATGTTTCTTCTTTCTCTGCCTCCTGGAAGAGTTTCTGTAAGATTGGTACTGTTCTTTTTTGTTAGTGTTTGATAAAACTTGCCGGTGGAACAAGGTAGCCCTGGAGTTTTCTTTGTGAAGACATTTGTGATGATAAAGTTTTATTTGTTTGATTAGTTATGCGGCTGCTCAGATTCCTGAGTCAGCTCTTGGTGGCTTGTTCAGAGGACACACTCATTTCTTCTGGGTGGTGGTTACTGGCGCGGACCGCCGGCAGCCCAGCTCCTCCGGCGTCTCTGGCGCCTGTGGTGACGCGTGCTCTTCCACTCCTGACAGCCGGGCCGCTTCACTTCCTTGGGTTTTCCCTCTTTTTCTCGTTCACTCCTGTCGGGGGCTCGTTAGTTTTATTAATATTTACAAAGAGGCAGCTTTTGGCTTTAATTTTCTCTATTTTCTGTGTCACTGATCTGTTCATTTTCATTATTGGCATTTTCTAGATTTCTAATTTAATTCTTGAGTCTGAGCTTGTACGCTGAATGATTTCGGATCTTTTAGACTTATTTAGACATATTTGTGACCAAGATGGGATCTGTCTTGGATATTCCAAACGCACTGGAAAGGAACGTGCATTCGCGGTTGTTTGGGACTCTGTTCTGTGAGTATCGGTCGGTGCAGGTGGCTGGTGGTGTCAGTCCACATCTTACATACTTTACTGATATTTCTGTCTAGTTCTGTCGGCTACTGAAAACGAGGGGTTAAACTTTCCACTGTGGTTGTGCATGTATCTTTTCTCCTGGTTTTGCTTCACTTATTTTACTGGGCTCAGTGCACGTTTATATTTTTCATGGCTGACATGGGCACTTTGAACTGTCCGTGTGTTCCTTGTCTCTAGCAAGTACGTCTTGTCCTGGAGTCTGCCGTGTCCCGTGTCGGTGTCACTGCTCTGACTTACGTGCTGTTGTCACAGGGCGTCTCTTTGCTGCCGGTGCCCGCCCCTCGGGTTTGCGTGTGAAGTGCTGATCTGGGAGACGGCATGTAACTGTACTCGCTTCTTCGTCACGTCTGATGCTGCTTTTAGATCGGAATGACGCCTTTTAAAAAGTACACGATTCAGTGGTTTTTGTGTGTTCTCAGGTTTGTGCCGCCATCACCACTAGCCAGTGCCAGAGCATCCCCATGCCCCCCAAACAGACTCAAACACACACTCCTCCTTTGCTGTTAGCAGTCACCCCCAGTCACCCCTCCCCCACAGACCAACCCAAACTCAAACTCCTTTTCCGGCGACAGCTCATCTACTTTCTGTCTCTGTGGATTTACACCGGGACATGTCACATACATGGAATCGTATAATGTGTGGCCTTTTGTGTCTGGCGTCTGGCACTTAGCATGATGACTTCAAGGTTCGTCACCTGCAGCGTGTGTGGGTCTGCTGCATTTTGTGAACCACTCAGCAGTTGACGGACACTGCCTGCCACCGGCGCCCCCCCGGGGCGTGGGGGCCGGTGCCCTGGGTCAGCGTGGTGATGCATAGATTTTGTGGGCAGAGCCTCTGTATCGCAGGGTCAACGCCTGTCTGATTCTGCCTACTTTTGCTCATTCTCCTGTACCTTCTAATACATTTGTTAAATATTTTGCCCAGATTCAAGAATTCTTGTCCGTGGGAAGATTAATCTGACCGGGCTGCCCTGCTGTTGGCAGATGCCAGCCCTGTCCCTCACTTTCACCCGCAGTTTGTTCGGGCGGTGGCAGCTGGGTGGGGCGCCTTAGCCCCCGGGTGGGTTGGCGGAATTCCCGACCGGCCCTCTCAGCGGCTGAAATTCTCATTTTCCGTGTTTCTCCTGCTGTAGGCCTCCATGAGGAAGTAGACTATTCTGAGAAGTTGAAGTTCAGTGATGACGAAGAGGAGGAAGACGTGAAGGATGGCAGGCCGCAGTGGTAAGGCTCCCCCACCCCGTGCTTACGGCACGCCCCAGGGCACCTGCCCGCTCCCAGGGCCTCCCAGGGCTGGTCACTGTGTGGTTTGCAGGCGAGGGGATGGGGCCGTTCGGGAGCGGAGCCCGGACTGGCGTCCGGGCGGAGTGCTCGTGACGGCAGCCGCTGCTCCGGCGCTCCGCCCGAGTGTGTTCTGCAGACTGAGGGTGGTGGCGTGCCCCCACAGGCTTGTGTGGCCGGCCGGTTCGGGAAACCACTTGGGTTCACTCACTCCTTTCTTCCCGGGCCGTCCCAGCCTGGGACATGCGTGCAAAGGCATGCTGGGAATCTTGGGTGGGGGGAGCTGTGAGCAGGGCGTGCCAGGTTTCCTGCACTTTTAGATCACATTAATCTTTTCTCTCTTTTTTTGGATTATTTTATGGCACTGGTTTTCTTATAGTGCCCTTTGGAAAGTACTTGATGGTCCTCTAGGCCCTCTTGTTTTTACCCATGGTATCAGTGGTGCTGGCTGGCACTTTAAAGGTAGTGCCTTGGTTGACTTAATGTGCATTTTTTTGAGTACTAGCTAATATGAACGTTTTCTTTCATGGGAGACCTCCTGTTTTCTTCCTATATTACCTGTTAGATCTATTACGGTTTTCTCTGAGATGTGATTTTTTATATTGCTTAGATATTAAGGCTTTAATGTTTTCCTTTGTTTATTTTATTGTCAGTGATTGAATGTCTGTGTAGTTGAGCCTGCAAGTCTCTGTGTGTTGTTTCATCTTCCGCTTCAAAGCTCCTGAAGTGAGTGCCCCTCGCCTGGGGGAAGCTGGTGACGATCTGCTGCCACTCCTTCTCCGATGGCACGCCGTTAGCTGGTGGGGGCTTCTGTCACTTGTTTTCGCGCTGTTGGATTTTCAGCCGAAGCCTTGGATGCACGTGGGGAGTGGCTGTGGGTCAGTTCCTGGAACACTGAGCTCGGAAGGAAATGTGACCAGGAATTGAAGGCAAAGGCAAAGATATAAAATTTCGCAGATTTGTTGGATCAGTAGGACATTCTGTTTCTTGTCTCTTTCTGTTGGTGTTAATGGCATATTCAGCTGAAAGAGCTAGGCGTGGGTTTTGGACCTAGGTTTGCTAATGGCTATGACCAAGGACACCTCTAATTGTGTGCACCTTCTCTCTAAATCTACTTTAAAACCTGTTTTTCTTTTTAAGATATATTTATTTTTAGAGAGGGGAAGGGAAGGAGAAAGAGAGTGAGAGAAACGTCGATGTGTGGTTGCTTCTTGCTGGGGACCTGGCCTGCAACCCAAGCATGTGCCCTGATTGGGAATCAAACCCTTTGGTTCACAGGCCTGCGCTCAATCTACTGAGCCACACCAGCCAGGGCTAAAACCTGCTCTTTTTTTTTTATATTTTCTGAACTGGTTGATGATGCCCAGTCCCCACCTCGAGACTCCTGTGACAAGCTCCAAGTCCCCTTTGCCATCTTCATGTCCCCAACCACAGTAACTCCTGAAACTGCCCTTGACTGCACCCCTCCCCGCTCACTGTGACCGGAGCCTCGGGGCAGGCAGCATCCTTTCTTTTCCGGGCCATGCAGAGGCCAGCAGCTCTCGCCCTCACACTGTGCCTAGTCGTCCTCTAAAGACAGGTCTTTTCTGGTGGAGAAGGGGCCTGAGTGTGGCCCCCAAGTTGCTCAGAGTGGCTGTGATCTCCCAGCCTACCTTGCCTGCCTCCCCCCCCCCCCCGCATCATGTGCACGTGTGAGCTCGCACATGCACAGACACGCAGATCCGCCAGGCCTGGCCCCGCTTCTCTGAACCCCTGTTGTGTTACGGGGCTCTTGTTTGGCGCACGAGAGGGGCTCGGTGCGCGCACGTGCGTTCTGCCCCAGAGCCCGCGTTTGCACCTCAACCTGTGACGGTGAGCCCTGCGCGGCACCCCCTTACCTTCCAGCCCCAGAGCTGCCCTCTGGAATGCCCCCGGTCCCTGCTGTGTGCTCTGCGCTTCTCTCTCGCTCTCTTTAGGAGGGCCTCAGCCATCTTTGGCTGTGCTGAGGGGCACTGTTGAACCTCTCTCTAGGCAGAGGGGTTCTGGCAAGGAGCTCTTGTGGTAAAGGAGGACCTTCATCTGTTAGCTCCTCCCCGGCAGAGCAGCTGCCCAGCCTCTCTGAGCCTCAGTTTTCAGCTCTTTAAAATGGGGGGGAAGGTAAAGCCTTTTTTCCTTCTATTAGGTGAAGCAATGGGGGTGAAACTTACTACCTGGAGCCCTGTGTGGAAGAGTGACTCAGTTCTGGTGTTCTGGGCAGGTCCTGCCACCCATGGGGGGGCGTGGAGTAGGGTGTGTTCTGATGAAGGACGTCGGTGCGCCGACAGCTGACTGAGAAGGGCCTCTGGCCAGTGCGATCCGACCGCGTCGGTCTGACGGGGAAAACTAACGCGTACGCGGTTTGTCCTAGGAGCGGCTGGGACCCCAGGGGCCAGCGGCAGTTGTCCCTGAGCTCTGCAGACAGTGCCGATGCCAAGCGTGCCCAAGAGGAAGGAAAGGACTGGGGCGAAACGGCGGGCATGACCCGGGCCATCCGGAAGGCGCCGGAACCTCAGCCGCCTTCCAGGAAGCCTCACAGCTGGACGTCAGGCCCTGACTACCAGGTACCGGGGCGCCGGAAGGGCTCTGTGACTGACCAGCAGGGGGCGCACGCAGCCTTCCCGCGCGTGCGTGGCCGGCCCCCCAGGAGACAGACCGCAGCAGGCACCCGGTCGGCTGGCCGCTGAGTTCAGTGGCTGCACTTCTCAGAGTCCTAGGTGGACGGGCCTTCTTTTAAATTTAAAAAACTTTGTTGGAAATTTTGAAACAGGCACAGACATATAGGAAAGCTGGAGGTATGATACCAAGAATACTTTTTCCTGGGCTATTTGAAGAGACATCGCATGACCAGGCGCTACCCCCATGGAACACCTGGGTAGTGTAATACCCCCAAAAGGACAGTCCTCTTAAGTAACCAGTCTCAGCCAGGACCTTAGCAGGGACATGTCCCTGCTGTCACCTTTTAATAGTTGTCCTGTTAGTGTGAATGGCCTTTACACAGGGACCCAGTTCAGAATCACACCCCACCTCAGGGGTCCTGTCTCTGCCGTGCCCATCGGTTCAGAACAGATTTTCCCGCCTTTCAAGTGACTTTGACACCTTGGGAGGTCACAGCCCAGTTACTTGTGGAGTGCACCTCGGAGTGGGTTTGTCTGCTCCGTCCTCGCTGCTGGCATCGAGGTTTCCTGTTTTGGCTCGGATCTCTCTGATGATGTGACTCTTCTCGTTGCATCCTGACAGGTGACCACAGTTCGTCTCTGTCCCACTCGGACAATTGTCACTTGATTACGGCGATACCTGCCAAGTTTCACACTGTGGTGTTGTTCTCTCCCACATTCGTAACAGATAGGAATTTTGTGGGCAGGCACTTTGGGACTTGGAATACCCTGTTTCTCATGCCACTTTGAGTTTATTTACATCCGTAAGTTAAGGTCTGTGTTTCTCATTGTTTTGAAGCTAAAACTGTCTTTGACTTGGCTGCTGAGAGCCTCTCTGAGTGGCGTCCCGGCCCTTCTGCGTGTCACCACCCTCTGCTGTGCTGTTCCTCGCTTTCTGGTGGAACAGGTTTTCTTAGGCTGCTTCCTTCCTCCCCTGCCTTGGCCCCAGAAGCTGTCCTTGCTGTGCAGAAACTCACATGTGGGAACTAGGAGTGTCACTGCTGTCAGGGTGTCCCCGCCCCCGGGTCCTCTTGGGGGACAATCAGGGAGCTTGTGTGTCTGCGTTACTTCTGCGTCTGTCTACACAGAAAGCTAGAAGTCACAGTGACCACTCCAGTCCCACAGAGTCCACTCTAGTTGTCCCCCATCTGTCCCTGACATTTACACCTGTGTGGTCAGGCCCCCTGTCGGCAGTCAGTCCCCCGTTCCTGCCACCACTCTCCCTTGCGCAGATGCCCTCCTCGCCCACTCAGACGTCGTGCCCCACGTGGATGCCCTGCATGTCCCTGCTGGGCCGTCTCCCCTTGGGAATCCCGTCCTCAGCCAGCTGCTGGGGCCACATTGCCACATGGACGTCTTTCCTGCCCTGCCTGGCCTCTGGCCACCTGCCCCCCGCCCCCAGGACTCTGTCGCAGATGCTGGCCTTGTTTTGCCACAAAGTTTCATGACTCTGGGACTAAATTGTTCAGGAGAGGCCAGACTGGGAATAGTAAAGGCAGTGCTTGAAATACACTTGGCAAAACGCAACAATTTTCAATGCGCTTTGCTACGTAAAGGGTTCCTGTTCCACATCTGCTCATAAAATGAAAGTGCCCCTTACCCTTGGTCTTTCTGTTGAGTACACGTCATGTGCCAGGCACTGTGTGCTCGGGACAGGGGATGGACACGTTGCTACTTTCGGAGATCGCCCTGAAGTCACTCCGCGTTGCGTTCTTATTTTGGGTGCAGTGTTCGAGTCATGGCTTCCCTTTGCCTCACTCACAGCAGCTGTGTGAACGAACTGAGTAGCATCCACAAAGATGAAGTCTGTAAAATTCCATGCACCCAGAGTTTTGGAAAGATTGTCGTAATTCAGATCTTTTTCAGAACCTTTAGTCTATAAAATGACAGCTAATCTTAGGTCAGTTTAGAAAGCCACATCATTAGTCTTAACAATGTCCACATTGCCTATAATTCTGCTGCTTCATCGCTAGGACTTTCTGATGGACCCGGTCAGGACGTGCAGTCAGGGTTGTCTGCAGGAGGGGACTGACCATCGGGGGTCTAGGGAAATTACAGCCCGCGCTGTGGGACAGCGCACACCCACGGCAGAGTGTGGACAGAAGGTCACGTTCAACAGAGAAAACTGCCTCCATGTTTCCAAAGTAGTTGTTCTTCATCTTTTGGTTGTGGCAGTTGTCTCTGGGTTGGGAGAAGTTAGTTTGTAGGAGAAAACTCCCTGGCTCCACTCAGTGTGTGGCATATTGCTTTTGTAGAGATAGAAAAAACGCATAAGAAAAGGCATAGATCTTGTTTTTTTCAACGTTCGGTGACTTGCCACAATCCTGTACACCTGTCCGTACAGGAAGACAGTCCTGTACGTCTTCCACTCACGGCAGGAAGCTGTGTGTTGCGATAGTCACATCGCATTGGGATCCCGTGGCCGTGGCCTTCGGCACTCCCCTCCCCGCACACCGGCGAGAAGGCGTCCTGTGTTGAGTTCTTCCCGCTGCGTGTTCGGCCCCTGGGTGTTGTCCAGTACCTGGCAGCCAGGCAGAGGCTCGGCTGGACGAACCGTCTGCAACAGCTCTTCTTAGAGATACCTTTTGGTTTTTACACAAAGAATGATCTTGAAACCATGTGTCATGAATTTCAACTTCTCGTGGCTCTGTACACTCAGAGGTTTGTAGGTGTTCACGGGGCAAGGAGTAGAGTGTGTGCTGTTTAGCTCCTGTTCGCCAGCGCGGGGGCCTAGCCCTGGTGCCCTTCGGAGTGGCGAGCATCCGTGGGCCGGGAGCACCCTCTGTGTCCGCCCAGGGCTGAGCGCCTGGCAGACACTTCAGGGCCTCTGCACAGTCCCAGAGGCTCCTATACTGTCCCCAGTTTGCAAATGACGAACAGAGGTGCAGAACTTTGGCGCTTGCCCAGACCTTCCAAACGCAGTCACAGGCAGAGCAGGATTCAAGCGCCAGCCCACCTGGCACATGATGACACGCCCCCCCGAAGGTGGTGCCCAAGGGTCTTGGGAAGAGCTCTGGCCCCGCCCTGGGGTCGCCCTGTCTCCTCCTTTCATTGGAGGCTTTCTTCTCCTGGCAGAAGTCCTCCGCGGTCAGCGTGTTCCGGCAGCAGTCGGTCGAGGACAAAGAGGACAAGCCGCCCCCGCGGCAGAAGTTCATCCAGTCCGAGATGTCCGAGGCTGTGGAGCGCGCCCGGAGGCGCCGGGAGGAGGAGGAGCGCCGGGCCCGGGAGGAGAGGCTGGCTGCCTGCGCCGCCAAGCTCAAACAGCTGGACCAGAAGTGCAAGCAGGCTCAGAAGGCCAGCGAGGCCCAGAAGCAGGTGGAGAAGGAAGTGCCCCGGTCTCCGGGCACCGAGAAGGTGTCCCCGCAGGAGAACGGCCCTGTCGCCCGCAAAGGTGAGCGGGGGGCCTCGTCCCGTGAACGGGAAACCCTGGGCGGCTCTCGTTTGCATCTCCCTGGCTTCCTGGCGCTGTCCAGGGCTTACAGCGGAGGACCTTGGGGAGAGGCGCAGGCGTTAAGCTTCGGCCCAGGTCTGTGCCTGGAGTCGCACCCTGTCTCAGCTGTTGGGGCTGGATGGCTCTGCGCCTCACCTCTGGGGCCTGTGTTCTCAGCGTCTGTGCAGTGGGATGCTAGCAGCGTGTCCTTTCCTGCGTGCTGCGGGGCCATGCGAGGGAGGGACGTGAAGCCCTTGGCGCAGTTTCTGCGTGTAGAAATCACGCGTGTCCTTCCTGGCAACAGGACCAATTCTGTCGTCATTATCACTGTGATCGTTACTTGCGCCGCTCGACCAGAGATGGGCCAGAGGTGCAGGCGTCGCAGGACTTGATGAAGTGCAGGATCCTTCCCCCTGCCGTTGGAGAGCATGTGTCTCGGCGTGCCGGAAGGAACGGATGCCGTGGCCGCCTTAGAGACGCTGCATGGCGCTGTATGATGGAGGGAGGGCAGCCCTCGAGCCATTTTACAGAACACAGTCAGCTGTGTTCTTTGTGGTTTCTAAGTGACGTCAGCTGAAGCCAGCCCTTCAGGAGAAAAGGGTCCGTCTGGTCTGCGTTTTGGTCTCTGAGAGCTTCCCGGGTGGGGTCGTGTTGCTGCTCTGATGGCCGTCCGAGTCCCTCGTCACTGCCCTTTCCCTGACGTCCCAGCGAGGCCTGTGTGGCATCCGGTCCTCACTTCGGGGCGGTAGGGGGTCCGGGTGGAGACCGCTTGGTGGGGGCGTGGGCGGTGGGTACTGGTCCCCGGGTGGGCCTGCAGGCCTGGGATTCAGGAGCTTCTCAGCACCCGCCCCGCCCTCCTGCAGTGTTTCCTGAGTACATCCCTGGGCCTGGGAGCTCCGCGCTAGGTCCCTCAGCCCCCCGCAGCTGAATGAAGAATGCACGTGTCGGTTGTACCTCAGTAAAGCTGGGGCGGGAGAAAGGGTGCAAAGCTGGGATGTGACGAGAAAGAAGGGAATTTTAGAGAGAGTGGTGGGCAGTTGTGTTGAGCACTTATGACCTATCAGGTGCTGCGTTGAGTATATTACATGGATTATCCCTTGTGACTTAGGCACCACTGCTGTCCCCATGGTACAGGAGAGGCCACCGTACCCAGGTCCCATGGCCTTTGGACGTGTGGAGCCAGGCTGTTGGGATGTGGACATGTGGGCTGTCACTGAGCTTGTGGCTGCTCGCTGATGTACTAGGGTCCTTTTTAATGAAATCTCTGTCACCTGGACCCAAACCCCAGCTCTGCTGCTGGTGCCGTGACCTCAGACAGCGCACCTGACATCTGAACTCTTTGTTTCCGAGTGATGCTGTGGGGACTCGTGAAGCATCGGCGTGGTGCCGGGGTCGGGGCTGTGACTAGTCCAGCATGGTGGCAGCGCCCACAAGGAAGAGCATGTGCTTTTAAACATCCGATTGGCCGAGCCTCTGTGAGCTCATCTCAGTCGTTTCTCTGGTTGCTTGTTCTGTAGGCTCCCCCGAGTTCTCTGCCCAGGAAGCCCCCAGCTCGTTTCCAGAAGAAGCGCCCGCAGCTGCTGCAGCTGTGGCTCAGAACGGCAGCAGTGAGGAGGGGGCCCGGGAGGCTGGGTCCCCTGCACAGGAGTTCAGCAAGTACCAGAAGTCGCTTCCTCCCCGGTTCCAGCGCCAGCAGCAGCAGCAGCAGCAGCAGCAGCAGCAGCAACAACAACAACAGGTAAAGAGAGAAAACGTTGAGAAGGTCCTTGTAAACAGACCTGATTGCTGAGGGATGTCCCCTCCACTGAAACAAATATAAGTCCACCCTCCTATCTCCCAGTCACACCAGGAGCTGTACCTCAGAACTTCAGGCCTTGGAAGGTCAGCTCTGGCCGCCGTCTCTCCAGGTGTCTCCTCTGGGTGGTGGTTTGCTGGCTCCTTGTCTGTCACCAGCAAGGGGGAGCGTGTGCACAGCGTGTGCCTTGGACGTGGCGTGGGCGAGCTCGGAGGGAGGGTGTCCTGTTTGGAGCAGCACCCTGTGCCCCGCGCTGGGACCTTCCCGGGGAGGGAGGGCGGCCCTGGGGCGGCCCGGGGAGCTGTCAGAGAGGGACGCGCGGGCTCCGGGCGAAGGGCGTGGGTCTGCGGGTGCTGACCGGGTTGCAGCTTCCCCGGCGGAGCGCGGCCTCGCAGGCCGTTGCCAGCCAGGAGGCAGGAGCACCTGCCTCTCAGCGTGGCAGGGAGGGCTTTACAGCCCCTTCGGACTCATCTGGCCGTGTTGTCTTCATTGGCGTCTCGTGAACCTTAAAAGGGGCTTGCCTCTTGCCTGGACGAGAGCGTGCGCGTGATGGCCGTAATCTCCCTCAGTCTCTTGTAAGCCTGGCCACCGCGTCCAGCTGGGACGCTCGTTGGCAGCGAAGTGTCTCACAGGAGAGCAGTGCCTTGTGGTGGGACCCAGGGACCGTACATGGACATTACTTAGTTCAGTAGCTGAGCCCTGCGGAAGCAAATTCAGGTGTTGAGCCTCTTCCCAGAATCTCTTGCTGTTGCCTTTAAAACCTTCCCCTGGGCCCTTCTTACCTTGGACTCCTAGAAAGTGTTCCAGGAGCCACCGAGTCCTGAGCTCTGAACGGGAAGGTAGACTCGTATGTTTCCACGTGGTAGTGGGTGACACTGTGGTGGCCTGTGGCTTGTGGAGAATTACTGACCAGGGAGCTCTCTGCGGCAGCTTGAGCCAGACACAGCAGCAACGGTGGCCCTAGGTAGCCCTGCTAGGGCAGTGGTGGGCAGGTCCTTCCTCAAGAACAGAGGGCAGTCTGGAAGTGCCAGGACAGCCTGAAGGGGTCTGGCAGCCTGTCTGGTCAGGTTTCCTGGGACCTGGGGTCCAGGCGTGAGAGGTTGCTATAGGCGGAGGCCCGCAGCCGCCTCCGTGGCTGTGAGGTCTCTATTGCTAGGTGCCGAGTGCTCCGCAGAGGTGCCCTAAGGGCCAGTGAAACTGCCTGGGGGTGTCCACCCCAGGCCGCTGGCAGTGGGCGGCCTATTGGGCTCTCCTTCTAGGCTGGCTCTGAACCGGAGTCCTGCTGGGCACCCACTCAGGATGCGCCTGGGAGGCAGCCCCAGAGGCCCCTGGTGCCACAGAGCAGGCTGTGCGGTGAACCCCTCCAGGTCCTCAGTGTTGGCTGTTCTGTTGATGCTTTATGTTTATCCACTTGTGCGGTGAGTGCTCTTTACACCAGCTCTGGTGGTCGGGGCAGGGATACTGCCGTGAAGTCGGGGTGCAGGCTCTCACGAAGCAGTGAGGCAGACCGTCACGAGACAGTAATGTCCTGTCGTCAGTGCCGGGGGAGCAGAGGACAGGGCCCTGGCTTCTGCAGGGAGCCGGGACAGGCTTTCCAGAGGAGGTGCTTTTAAAGATGGAACCTAAGGGAAGTGTGAGTGAGCCAGGTTTGGGGGTGGAGGAAATGGGAGCTCCCCAGACAGAGGGCCCAGCATGCTCCCGAGGCCTCAGGTGGCAGGCAGCCTTGTGAAGGGAGGCGTGGAGCCGGGGCCAGGGCCCCGCAGACACAGTAGCCGACGTGGAACCCTGTGGGGAGCCCTCAGAAGCTCTTCGGAAGCACGGGGTTGACACAGTTCCCACACAGTGGGGTGTGTGTGTGTGGACAAGATCGCCCCTATAGCTTGGAGAGCGGCTCGAAGAGGGCAGTGGAGAGGAAGGGGGGGATGGCGGTGTGCCCAGGTGGCTCTCGGCAAGGAGAGTCCCCGGGAGGTGTGCTGGCCAGGTGTCAGTCCCTGGAGTGTGTGGTCTGGGTGAGACCCGTCTGCTTTGTGCTGGAGGGGCCTGCGGGCCCCTCCCACCATGAGGGCGGCACAGCGGGCCCTTGCAGCAGCCGCTCACCCTTCCCCTCGCTCGGGCTCCTGCTCAGGGTGGGCTTCCGGTGCCCTCTGCTGGCGCAGTGTGCGTGCAGGGGCGGCGTCTGCCCGTGGCCCTGTCTCACCGGGCCCGTCTCCCCGCGCAGGAGCAGATGTACAAGATGCAGCACTGGCCGCAGGTGTACCCCCCGCCCTCCCACCCGCAGCGCACCTTCTACGCGCACCACCCCCAGATGCTGGGCTTCGATCCCAGGTGGATGATGATGCCTTCCTACATGGACCCACGGATCGCGCCTCCTCGGACCTCGGTGGACTTCTACCCCTCGGCCCTGCCCCCTTCGGGTAAGCACCCTGGGCCAGTGGGCCCCGCCTGTAGAGGCCCCGACAGGGCCCCAGGAGTTAGGTCCACGGGATTCCACCTGGCAGCCTCCACAGGTCACGTGACCAGTCTGTTTTCACTTCCTTGTTTGCAAAATGGGGGTATAACAGTACCTGTCACAAAGAATTGTTGGGAGGAGTCCTGAGACCGTGCGTTGCACATTGCTCTCGTTAATTTTTATGTCTCTTCTCTGTTGTTCTGACCCTTTTTGTCGTTCTTAGTGTCCTTTCTGCCTTCTCTGTTCCTTTTCCTTGATCAGCCTTCCCCGAGGTTTGTCTAGTTAATGCCATTTTTAAAAAAGAGCTTTGGATGTCTTAATTTCTCCATCTTTTTGTTTTTACTTAATTAGTGTTTGCTTTTTCTCTGTTTTCTTTAAAATTATTGTTTTTCTAATTGTTGTTGGATACTTAGTTCATTAATTTTTGACTTTTCTGAGACATGTACTTAAGTCTCACCTGAGCTATGGTTTCCTGTGAGTTTTATGAGAAAGCTCTTTGTTATTGTACAGGCCTGAATGTCAGTCTGATTTTCATTTATTTTTTAATTACGGTTTTTTAATGGTATGTTGTAGATTTTCCAAAAACAGGGTTGAAAGATTGTTCTTACGGTGTGATTCTCTGATGTGGCTGGTCTGTGGTCAGGGAGCGCTGTCCGTGTGCTGAGATGCCGGGGGTCACTGGGCCTGTTCCGTGAATGCCAGGCAGCGAGAACGATGTGAGGCTCTGAGCAGCGGCTCGGCCTCGCTGGCGTGAGAGCAAACACAGCTGCAGACAGCAGCAAGTGAACGGGTGCCTTGCTTTCCAGGGAACCTATTTTTAAAACAGGCGGCAGGTCGAATTTCACTCCAGGGCTGAACTTGCCCACAAGGCCCCCGTCAAGATTGCTGGGCACTGGTTAAGATTTTCTTTGTAGGCTATGACTTTTTTTTTAAACGTTCTATGTTTGCTTTAAAAGAGTTTTGTTGTCTAATTAGACGTGAATTGAGCTTGCTGTGGTTGTGCTTTGTGAATATCGATGTCATCGCAGTCTTTGTCCCCTCGATCGGTTTCTCAGAGGCTGCGTTCGGGCGTCCCGCGACGGCTGTGGGTCCGTGAGTCCCGGGAGCCCGTCCGCCTTGTCTGTCCCGTCTGGAGGCGCTGGAGGCGCGTCCTTGCTGCCTGCCACTCGCGGAGTTTCCCGTCTCTGGAGTCTGCTCCATCCGATAGTGATCTCATTCCTGGTTTCCTTGGATCCCTGATCGTCTGGCCTCCTCTTTCCGGCTTTTAGCTGCCGCCCGCCCCCCCCCCCCCAGCCCATTTCGGGGAGCATATCTTTGTATGTCCGAGGGGTGTGGCTTCATCCGTCCCGGAAGTACTTCTTGGTGGCCGGAGCCGGTCCTTGAGGATTCCCGGGGTGATTATATTTGGATTTCCTCCTTTCCTATCTTATGTTTTCTGTTTGTCCCCCTCTATGCTTTTCTTGTATGTTTTTATTTTTAATCAGGTTTTCCTATTCTTTCTGTTTGTTTCCTTTACATTCTGTTTCTACTGTCATAGTGATCACGTTCAATTCTAACATGGCCAATCAGTATTTTCCCTCTTAACTCGAACTCTGATGACCTCCTCATCAGTCTTGTTATTTCTTCCTAGAATTTTAGTTCTTCCTGGTTTTTATGCCCACCCGATGAGTCACGGTTATTTTTGTGGCTTTGTCCAGTCTGCGCTTGTCAGATTTGCCTGTGTGTGTGGACTCGTTTCTTTGCTGTGTTCCCCTCTGCCCTCTTCTTCCTTCATCTGGGTTCGGTTTACTTCTTCGTGGAGTGCGCTCTGCGAGTCCTTCAGGAGAGGTGCTTGGCGGTCCTCCTTTGCCCGAGGAAGGCTCCACGCCACCCTTGCTCCCGAGCGGCAGTACGGCTGGGCGCAGAGACCGAGGCTGGCGGTCACTGTTGGCCTGGGGGGCGGGGTGCGTTTGCATTCCTCCCGGCTCCTGCTGCTGCGGGAAGTGGGTCCTGTGGGCGACCCACTGTCTTCTCTCTGCGGCCACCTTCCTGTCCCGGGTCCCTGCGGCCCCGTCTCGACAGGCTGTGTCCGGGTGCACGTCTGTCTCTGCCGGCCTCGTCCCACCGAGAGCTCCTGTGGCACGTGTCCGAGGGCGGTTGTACGTCTTTCATCGCTTCCGGAAACTCCTGGTCGGCACTGGGCACCCTGCCCTTTCCTCGCCCTGTGTCCTTTCTTCTAGAAATTCCCCTTGGAGCATTCAGTGCCTTCCCGTTCTGTTTCCCAAGTCTCAAATATGAGAGAGGGGGCGTCTGTGGGGCCTTCTGGGAAAATGCCTCAGAACTGCTTTCTCTCAGCTGCGTCTAATCTGCTTTCTCTTCCTTTGCTGTCCAGTGAGTTTTAATCTCAGTGACTATATTTTTACCACTAGAATTTTTCTTAAATCTGTAATTTTTTCAATTCCTTCTCTTATGCATTTTAATTATTTAAAACATAGTTTTCTAGTGTTGAACAGATTATTCTGTTACCTGAAGTCCTTGAGGCGGGGTATGTAATCCTGTTACTGTGCTGTGTCCAGGTGCATCTGGGGTCCTTTTTTTTTTTAAGATTTTACTTCACCCAGAGCGGAAGGGAGGGTGAAAGAAGCGGAGAGAAACATAAATGTGTGGTTGCCTCTTGTGCACCCCCTACTGGGGACCTGGCCTGGCCTGCAACCCAGGCATGTGCCCAGACGGAATCAAACCAGCCACTCTTCGGTTCTCAGGCTGGTGCCCAATCCACTAGCCAAGGTATTTTTGTTGTTGTTGTTGTTGTTGTTTTTAATCGGTTTGAGAGATTTGTTGTTCCACTTATTTATGCATTCATTGGTTAATTCTTGTATGTGCCCTGACCAGGGATCAAACCTACAACCTTGGCGTATCGGGACAATGTGCTGAGTGACTGAGCTACCCAGCCAGGGTACAAGTTCATTCTCTCTCTCTCTCTCAGATTTATTTATTTATTTATTTATTTATGTATGTATGTATTTATTTATTTTTAGAGAGGGAGGGGGGAGAGAGAGAGAGAGAGAGAGAGAGAGAGAGAGAGAAACATCAACGTGCAGTTGCTGAGGGTCATGGCCTGCAGCCCAGGCATGTGCCCTGACTGGGGATCGAACCTGCTATATTTTGGTTCGCAGCCTGCGCTCAATCCACTGAGCTACACCAGCCAGGGCCAAGTTCATTCTTAATAGAGCTTTATTCATTGTGGGGACTCAGTATGGCTTGGGGTGAGCATATCCCTCTAGAGGTGTTTTCCGTTTTTTTCTGCTAGCTTAGAACCATCTTTTATTTTAACTTGGGGTGTTCCTGGACCACTCTGGGAGTATAAAGCTGAACACCCCCCTTCCCCAAACCTGTGGCATGTGGCTCTGGATTCCTAGAGAGGGGTGCTGCTCTTTCCCTACCGCTGCCCAGGCTGAGACACAAACGTCGTCATTTCCCCATCCCTGCACAGAAGAGCGTACGTTTTTCTCGTCTGCCTTGTAATCGAGGGCGTAGCCCTTCGAGGGTCTTGGTGTGGAGCAGCGTCTCGGCTGCAGCTCGCTGCACTGTGCACAGAAGCCCATCCCCTGTGCTGGGTGGAAGCACAGCCCTGCAGGGCACGAAGACTGGTGGGGGGCTCCCGTTTTCGAGGGGACATACTGCTCTGCAAGCAAAATGTCGGGTCTCCTCTGTCCAGCGTTTCCGTGGCAGAAAGCGTTCTCGGCCAGCAAGCGTTTCCGTGGCAGGAAGGTGTTCGGGGTACCGAGGCTCGGCCGTGTGCCGGAACGGAGTCTGTGCGCAGTGCCGCACAGTGCGGCCGGCCCCGCGCCACACCTGAGAGACGGTGTGTGAGCCCTTGCAGTGTTCGGGGGGCCGCCGCTCAGCGCTGTCCGACAGCCTCTGCGCCGGAGTCACGGTCACGGGTCAGGAACGTTTGAACAGAGTCCCCACAGACACAAGCAGCTTAAAACCGCTGGCCTGGGGCTGCCTGAGCTCATTTTGAAAGACGAGTACAAAATTTTTGGCTACCAATGAGCTTTGTAAAGAAATTATTTGAAAAATTAGATCTTTTCCCTCTAGAGTCTGAGGCCCAAAAGGCCGTTATCATCTGTGCCGCCCCAACAGCCTCATTTGATAGAGGTGGACAGAGGGCCCGGGGTGCAGTGAGTTTATGTCTGGTAGTTGGGGGTCACTGTCGTTGCCTGAGGATCGGAGCACGGTTTTCGGACAGGGTGACACAGACCAGTTCTTGCCCTTTTCAGGACTGATGAAGCCCGTGGTGCCCCACGAGTCCCTCAGTGGGACCGGCTGTCGCTCTGAGGATCAGAGCCGTGTGCCCCCACTGCAAGAAAGGAAGGTGACTGCCATCGACCCGGCCCCCGTGTGGAGCCCCGAGGGCTACATGGCATTGCAGAGCAAGAGCTACTCGCTTCCCCACCCGAAATCCAGCGACACGTTGGCCATGGACGTGCACGTCAGGTGAGACAGACTCAGTCCTGCTGTCCTGCACCTGCAGGGCGAGGCGCTGTCCAGGGACACGCTGCCTGGGGGATGAAGACGCCTGGGGGCCACTGCCAGCGCCCTCTGGGGGGAGAGAGTATGGCCAGGATGGCGTCCGCGCTGTGCTTTGAAGGGCGCTTATCTGATAGTGGGGCTGAGGCTGAGGAGACTCCTGGGGTCCAGGGCAGATCTCTGGACAGGGTGAGGAGGCGGGGGCGCTGGGCTGGCAGGCAGGGCGAGCGTGTGGAGCACCTCTGCTCCCTGGGAAAGTAAAGCAAGCTGGCGCTGCCAGCCCAGGCTCTCCACAGACTCCCTGGCTCCAGCTCCTTGGTGGCACCCGAGGAGCCCCGGCTGTCCTCTGTCTCCACGGTGGCACGCTGAGTCCACCAGCAGCCACTGCACTCTTCGCTCTCTGGACCCCGGGGGCCACCGCTGTCTATGGCCCAGCCGCTCTGAGACCTGTTTAAAGATAGAGGAACTAGCCCTGGCTGGTGTGGCTCAGTGGATTGAGCGCAGGCTGCGAACCAAAGGGTCGTAGTTCGCTTCCCAGTCAGGGCACGTGCCTGGGCTGCGAGCCAGATCCCCAGTGAAGGGAGCGCAGGAGGCAGACATAAGGCAGACATACGTTGTTGTTTTTCTCTCTCTCTCTTTCTTCCTTCCTTCCCCGCGCTCTCAAAATAAATAAATAAAATCTTTAAAAAAAGATAGAGGAAATATTGGTGGTTATCGTTTTTTTCTCTTTTTAAACATTTTTTTCTTTTTAAAACTAAGCTCTGTGTTCAGCGTGGACAGCAGGAACCAGGCTTCCAATCACATTGACGGATTTTTCTGGTTCCTTTCCAGGAATGAAAGCTCTTTCTCTGCCCCCCCCGGAAGGTCAGGGGGCATAAGTGCCCAGCGCGGCCTCCTTGAGGAGAGAGTGGAGGAGTACTTGAGTGCTTTTGACAAGAAGGCCCCAGCAGACTTTGACAGCTGTGTCTCTTCTCAAAGAATAGGCCAGGAGCTTTTGTTTCCAACCCAAGAAAATGTACACGACACAGGCGCTCCTGGGGGTCACACCCCAAACCTTAGGTGTACCCCACTGCAGCCCGACTTTGTCCCGGCTGAGAAAAAGCCAGAGTATAGCAATTGGGATGTCAGCCACCAGCCCGAGGCCGCTGACGCAGCCGACAGTGTGGAGGAGACGCCCCGGGAGGAGCCGCCCTTCCCCGTCTCCTCCTGGGGGAAGGAAGGGGGCCCCCACCAACAGCCACCCCTGGAGCCCGAGTGGACCCCGGAGCCCCGGAGCTCCGGCAGCCAGCATCAGGAGCAGACCAGCAGGACCCGGAGGTCCGGGCCCATCAAGAAACCCGTGCTCAAAGCCCTCAAGGTGGAAGACAAAGAGAAAGAAGTGGACAAGAGTAAGCAGGAGCTGGGGGAGGAGAGTGCCCGCCTGGCCACCAAGGAGGAGGCGCCGCCCAGTCCCCAGGCCGGAAAGGACGAGGATGAGGAGAACAGGCCCCCGCTGCCCAGCTCCACCCCCTCCGCCCTGGAGGCCCAGGGCTTGGCCCGAGCTCGTCCGGGCTGCGCGGCCAGCAAACCTGAAGAGGAGGAGAAGCCTGACAGGGCTTGGGAGCCCAGACCCTCCCGGGAGCCCAGTGACACGCCTCCGACGAAGAGGAATAACTGGATCTTCATCGACGAGGAGCAAGCCTTTGGGGGCCGAGGCCAGGCCCGGAGCCGCGGCCGTGGGTTCCGAGAATTCACTTTCCGCGGCCGGCCTGCTGGCGGCAGCAGCCCCGGCATCTGCGGCGGGGGGGTCCTTGGGGCGAGGGGCATCTACACCAACAGCCAGAGGAGCTGCCGCGGCCGGGGGCTGCGAGAGTTCGGTCAGCCCGAGGACTTCCCCAGGGCCAAGCCCCGGCGCCGCATCGCCAGCGAGACCCCCAGCGAGGGCTCCGAGTACGAAGAGCTTCCCAAGCGGCGGCGGCAGCGGGGCTCGGAGAGCGGCCCCCCCGACGGCTCGGCCCTGGACAGGGAGGAGGGCGCCTTGAAGAAAGGTGACTTCCGAGACTCCTGGCGGTCCAACAAGATGTGCTCCGATGACCACAGCGGTCCGGAGGTGAAAAGCAGAGGCCCGAGGGCCTTCGGACGAGCCCTCCCTCCCAGGCTGAGCCACTGCAGCTACGGGCGGAGAGCCTTCGTGTCCAAGGAGTCGGCCCACTGGCAGAGCAAGGGTCCTGGCACCTGCTGGCAGGACCACGGCTCCCCCGACGCCTGCGGCTCCCGGCGACCCGCGGACAGAGACTACATCCCAGAGGCCTACAGGCATTCCGACTCATCCGGTGCCCGGGCGTTGGAGGACGGCCGCGTGGAGGACAGGAGGGCCTTCTTCCAGGACGAGCACGTTGCGGATCCCGAGAACGCGGAGAATCGGCCCTTCAGGAGGCGGCGCCCGCCGCGCCAGGACAAACCCCCTCGATTCAGGCGCCTCCGGCAGGAGCGTGAGTCCTTGGGCCTGTGGGGCCCTGAGGAGGAGCCCCCTCTGCTGGCCGGCCAGTGGCCAGCGCGGTCGAAGCTCTGTCCCGGGGACAAGAACGGGGCCGTGGGCCGCAGGTCCCCCGAGCTCTCCTACCAGAACTCCTCCGATCACGCCAACGAAGAGTGGGAGACGGCCTCTGAGAGCAGCGACTTCAGCGAGCGGCGAGAGCGGCGCGAGGGCCCTGGGGCCGAGCCCAGCCCCCAGGTGGACGGCAGCCTGCCCGGGGCCGGTCTGGGGGAGAAGAAGGAGCTGGCCAAGAGGAGCTTCTCCGGTCAGAGACCGCTGGTGGACAGACAGAGCCGCAAGCTGGAGCCGGGAGGGTTTGGGGAGAAGTCTGCTAGGCCGGGTGGCGGCGACGCTTCTCCCCGTTACGAGAGCCAGCAGAACGGGACGCCGCTGAAAGCCAAAAGGTAAAGCGAAAGCAGAATCCGGGTCCTCTCTGTGGCCGTTGTATTCAGCCAGTTCTTTGAGCAGCACTTCATGCATGCGTGTCCTGCCGTGTGCCAGGTGCCCCCGACTCGCCCCTGCACCCGAGGGTGACTGCCCGCCAGGCCCTTGAGCGTGAGTGTCTCCGTCACTGGCTCCTGCACCGCTTGTCTGCTTCTCTGTGGCATTATGTTGTTGTGGCTTGAAAACTGAAACCCGAGGAGCCAGGGGGCAGGGTGAGGCCCGAGCACCCTGCCGGTCGGGTGCCGCAGCTGTGTTCTGAGCCCTCGCCGTCCTTCCTTTGTGGGGCCCTGCCGAGCGTGGCCCGCAGCGGGAAGGCCCAGAGCTCCTGAGCCCCGGGCAGGGTGGGCAGGAGCAGCTTCTCTGTGAGGAGGGAGAGCTGGGGCCCAGCGGTGCTGCTGGGGGCCTCCGGCGGTGGCCTTCTGCACGGCCTGCAGGTGCCGTGCTGCTGCCGGGAGCCGCGTCCAGGTGGAGGGACAGCGGCGCAGGTCAGGCACGTGCGCGTGCTGTGTGCTTGTGCGATTTTGCCTTTCCACTCCTTCCCCGGGCTCTGGGCCCTGCCGAGCTGATGGGGTTCCCCCTTCCTTACAGGTCCCCGGATGAGGCCTTGCCGGGAGGTCTAGGCTGCCCCAGTGGGAGCGGCCACTACACCCTGGAGCGGTCCGCCCATGCCCCCTCTGACGTCCCCGAAGCTGCCTGCGAGAAGGCGGAGAAGGAGGCCCAGCTGGCCGTGCAGAGGGCGGATGAGCAGGGGGAAGCCATGAAGCCATTTGACCTGAACTATGGAAGTAAGTGCTGCCTCACTTCTTCAGGGGGAGAGGACCCAGGCAGAACGGGGCCCTGCTCTGCGGGCTGCCACCTCTGCCCTCTTGCTCACGGTCTGGATCTCTGGACAGGCCCTGGGCCACACTCCAGGGCTGCATGGCGACAAGACAGATCGGACCCCTGCCCTTGTGTGGCTCACAGCCTGCTGAACTCCCATAACTGTCCCACTGTGCCTCAGTTTTAAAGAGGGAAACGGGAGGCCCAGAGAGATTGAGTGGCGTGTCCAGGGTCATGAGGCTAGTTAGGAACAGAGCTGGGACTTGGGTATCTGTGTCTCCAAAGAGTTCTCTCAACCCTAGAGTCCCTCAGGCCTCTTGGGTTTACGTTAATGGCGTGTCAGAGGGGGTGTGAGAAGGGTGGGGCGGTTACAGCTGGGTTCTGCAGCCCCTGGTGAGCACAGGGCAGGTCCTTAGGTATTGGGCCAGGCATGGCCCAGCCTTCAGAGCTGAGCCCGTCCTTAGGTATCCGTGGCCTGTGGGGCTGGGCTCTCTTTGGGTTCTGGTGAGTGTAACATGGTCCCTTTTTGTGATCTCGTGGCTCAGACTCCATCATCGAGAACTGTGGGTCCAGCCCCGGAGAGGAGCCTGAGGTGGGCTCCATGGTGGGCGAAGGCTTCATCGAAGTCTTGACCAAGAAGCAGCGCCGCCTGCTGGAGGAGGAGCGGAGAAAGAAGGAGCAAGCTGTGCAGGTGAGTTGCGCTAGGTGAGGAGGAGCCAGGCTGAGGGCAGGCTGGTGACTCGGGGAGACCAGAGCCAGGAGGATGAGAGTTCTGCATTAAGCCCAAGGTGGGGGGGTTCCATAGCACACTCCCGCCACCCTGGGCCAGCAGACGGCCTCGCCTCTGTCCTCCGGGAGGGCGCTTGTCCCCGTGACAGCAGTGGAAGCCTCGCCGAGCAAGGTGCAGGCCTTCGTCAGCCCCCACGTTCATCCTCCTTGCACTGAGCCTGGGGCCTGAGTGGGGTGAGGCCCGTCACCTTAGGAGTCACGAGGGTTGGGACCCTGTGCCCACGCGGCCTTGGTGGAGCACTGCCCGTTGTCCTGGTGTTGGAGTTCGGATCGCAGTCCCTTGGCTGACAGCCCTTTCCAGGCGTGGTGTGGTGGGGGGTGGAGGCCTTGAGAGGCGAGGGGCCCCGCCCCTGCAGTGCACGCCGCTGGGGAACGTGTGTCATTCTTCATGCCGGACAGCCAGGGTGGCCGACACCGCCTGTTGTTCCTTAGGTGCCTGTCAAAGGCCGGGGTCTCTCCTCCCGTATTCCTCCTCGGTTTGCGAAGAAGCAGAACAACCTGTGCCTGGAGCAGGGCGACACACCTGTGCCGGGCAGCAGCCTGGGCACCGAGATCTGGGAGAGCGGCAGCCCCGGTAAGAGTCGGGGTATGTGGGCTTGGGCCTAGCCCGCTCGCGGCCGTTCTCTTCTCAGGGAGCGTGACTGGCTCCCTGGCGTCCCCTGCGGAGCCAGAATGTTAGACGCCGTCGCAGCGCCACTCTCTGTCGCTGCCCCTGAGCAGCAGGGGGCTTGTCCCCGCCTCACCTTCGGTGGCAGAGCGCGCACCCGCCAGCACTGAGGTCCGACAGGGGCAGCCACTCCCCCCGGCTGGAGGCACCAGAGCCGCTGGAGGCACCAGAGCCGGCCTGACTCCCTAGCCCACGCCGCTCATCCTTTTGTAGGAGGCCCTGGGAGAGCAGGGAGTGGCTGTGGGGGCGGGACTGGGGCCCGGAGGGCCCTTCCCAGCCCAGGGGTGGTGGGGAGGTGCTGTCAGCCCCTCCCAGAAACGCTCTTGGAAAGACGGACTTGAGGCCAGAGTGAGGTGGATCTTGCTTTGTAGAGAATTTGCTTCCCTGAGCTTTGAAGTAAGTTCTATATTTAATGCTATTGTTTTCAATTAAGATGCAAATCCATCTTAATTGAGCAGATTCTTCTGGAATGTCTGCTTTGGCTAGGGCCCTGCAAGGCACAAAGGCGCGTAAGATAAGGACTGCTGGCACCTCCCGGGGGGCGTGGAGAAACCATCCACTGCAGCGTAGTTTCACACACAGCAGCCCAGGCTTTCAGAGCGGAGGGGCTTGGCCTCAGGGCCACGTGACATCACCCGAGACTCCGGGGCCTGGACCTTGATTCTTTCCGTGTGACCGCGTGGCCCGTCTCCATGCTCCGGGTGAAACCCTTAGTCCCAGCACATTGCAGAATGACGCTGGAAAACACTGAGCTCTGATGGAAAGTGTGATGCTCTCCTAATGAGAGTCTGGTGTCAGACACTCTGGCAGCGTGTCTGTGATGGGTGTCGTTGCTGGCCGGGCAGAGCGGACTGGGCTCATACAGGCCCCCGTGGACTTGTGTGTGCGCACAGCGCCTCCGGGCGACTTGTGAGCTAACCCCGTCTAGGTCCCTGCGCCTCGGACCTCTCCGAGACCCTGGAGCCGCTGCCAGAGTGCAGACAGAAGCAGCGGGCTTCGGTGAAGGGAGGCCTCGCACCGTTCTCCCAGTGGGAGAGCCTGAATGTCGCCAGTGTCTGCCACACCACCTGGTCACGTTCACTGGCATCTGAGGGTGTCGGGAAGGCGGACGAAGTCTCAGACCAGATCCCGTGTGTCAGATCTGTTCGCTGGCGTGCCATGTCCGGTGGGGGCTGTGGGGGGACTCAGGTTTGTGTGAGCTGCGTCTGTGTTCGTCCTTGACACCCTGATTCTGTCTTCCTCCCCTGGCAGCTCTCCCTGTGCAGGCCTCGACCAGCGACTCCTGGACCAAAGCCGCCACTGCCTTCAACAGCGCCGAGCCCGGCTCCGCCGAGGTGGGTGGCCGCTGTGCTGCTAAGGGCGGGGCGCCTGCTCCCTGCCCATTTGCCGAGCTGGTCCCGGGTCTTGTCCATCCTGGCGGCCCGCCTGAGCTTCCCCTCAGCCACACAGTTGAGCTGGGACCAGAAGCCATTTTCTCGGGTCCTGGCTTATTTCGGTTTTCGATCTGTGTGAGAGCGAGAAAGAAAAGGGGTTCCAGGGAGCCCCTCAGTGTAGGGCGAGTGATTGAGGGGCTCTCCTTCAAACCTGTGATGGTGTTCGTTCAGTTTGGTGTGGGTCGCAGGAAGTCAGTTTGGCAGTCTCTGTCCTGGGCCCTCTGGGGTCTCGTGGTTGTGAGCTCGGGTGGGGTTGGTGCGTTGGGCTGTGTGCCTTCAGTTGTCAGGTCAGGACCCGCCCCCCCCCCCCGCCCCGGACGAGGCTACACAGTGTGGGCGTGCCAGGGGAGCTGTGTCTCAGTGCCAGACTCGGCTTCACACCTTGGGTGGCAGCGGTCTGTGGCCTGCAGCGAGAGCTCTGACCCGTTGTGTGCCTTGCACAGCAGGGTTTTAAGAGCAGCCAGGGAGACAGTGGAGTGGACTTGAGCGCTGAGTCCCGAGAGTCGTCCGCGACCTCCTCGCAGCGCAGTTCCCCGTATGGCACCCTGAAGCCGGAGGACATGAGCGGGTCCGGCCTGGAGCCCAAGGCTGACAGCCACAAGGAGCAAGCTCAGAAGCAGCCTGAGCCAAAGGTGACCTGGGGGTCCCACTCACGGGGACCAGGGCCTGGGCAGAGGGCTCGTCGTTTCCTGTCCCCTGCCCCGGGGCCCGGGGGCTCGGGAGCCACAGATGGGGGCCGTCTGGTCTGTGCGCCTCAGCTCCTCTGCTCTCCCGTCAAGGACTCGGAGCAAGGCCCGGGGCAGAGCAAGGAGCACAGGCCCGGCCCCATCGGCAACGAGCGCTCTCTGAAGCACAGGAAGGGCTCGGAAGCGGCCGAGCGGCTGCCGGGGGCCGCCGTCCCACCCGTGAACGGGGTGGACGTCCACGTGGACGCCGTGCTCCCAGTGCCGCCCATCGAGTTCGGAGTCGGCCCAAAGGTGAGGCTTCGATCGGTGCCTTTCTCCCTTTTGCTTTTTTAACTTGGGGAGGAAGGTGGGTGTCAGCGCAGGGTCGTGGACAGAGGTGCCAGGGAGTGGCCTTCCAGGTGTCCTGCTGACACCAGCCGGGGTGCCAGGCTGAGCAGGCTGGTGGGCTCCCCTGCACCAGTGGGGTCGGCCAGTGGGCACGATCAGAGAGCGGGGAGGAGGGCGCATCCTGTCCGCACATGCTGTTGGGAGACATTCGGCCATGTTGTGCTTAGTGGGTTTTTCCAGTTGCTGGGGTGTGGATCCATTTAAGGCGTGTCTCTGCTAAAAGGTGAGCCAGGGTCATTTCAGCGGACTCTTTTCCCTTCTCTGTCAGGACTCCGATTTCAGCCTGCCGCCAGGTTCTGCCTCTGGTCCCGCAGGGAGTCCAGTGGTCAAGCTTCAAGATGCCTTGGCCAGTAATGTGAGTGTGTGCTCCCGCCTCCAGCCCCCAGCTCTGGTCCCCGCGCCGGCAGGCCCTGGGAGGAGAGAGTCGGGTTGGCGCTCTGAAACCGGGGCGTGAGCCTGCCCCGGCTGGATGTCGGGCGGACCTGGGTCTGGGTCCTGAGGCAGTTTCTAGCTGGGGACAGGCCTTCCAAGGGGCTGCTCGAGTGTTCCACGGCCCAGCCTTGTGAACTGAAGTGGGATGACGTCTTTCCCGAGCCCTGGTCCACCTGGCTTTCTCCGGCTCTTTGCTCTTCCAAGCCCGCGGTGGTGGGGGAGAGCGCTGGGCTGGGCTATGCGGACTTCCTGACCCCGGGCTGCCCGGGGCCCCGAGATGTGCTGGTGGGCACGGCGCTTCTGCAGGACGAGGGCCTCGCGGTTGCGCCTGGGAGCCTCGGTGACCGAGGCCCCTCTTGCTCGCAGCCTCCTGGGGGCCAGGGCGGGACCTGGAGGCCCCCGAGCCTGCGGCGTGCGGGCGCAGCCAGCAGCGTCTGTGCTGCTGGCACACGACGGTTCCTGCCGGAGGGCTGTGAAGGGGCAGGTGTGGAGGGGCCCTCTTGGGACTTCTGTTGAGGGGATCCGGCCAACCCGTGGGCTGGGCCGCTGGCAGCTCCGTCCTGGTGATCTCAGCATCCACCACTGAACATGAAGCGCGTCCTGACACCTTGTCCTGCCCCTCCGCGCCTGCTTGCTTGTTCACGCTTCCCTGTTTCCTCCAGGCCGGGCTGACACAGAGCATCCCCATCCTCCGTCGCGACCACCACATCCCGAGGGCCATCGGCCTCTCCCAGATGTCCTTCCCCACTGCTGACCTCACTCTGAAGGTAACTCCGGCACTGCGCTGGGCTGGGCCTCCTTGGTGCCTGAGGTGGTTAGGTGGGGGTGAGCAGCGCCTCCCCCCGCCTGCGCCCCCACCCCTGCCCCTGGGTCTCTGCCGCACCCTGGTAACTTTCCCCCCTCTCCTCCCCTTGCCTCTGAAGATGGAGTCAGCGCGAAAGGCATGGGAAAACTCGCCCAGTCTGCCAGAGCAGAGCTCCCCGGGAGGCGCTGGCTCGGGCCTCCAGCCCCCATCCTCTGTGGGGGCCTCCAGCGGCGTCAGCTACAGCTCCTTCGGCGGAGTCTCCATGCCGCCCATGCCCGTGGCCTCTGTCGCCCCTTCTGCTTCTCTTCCAGGTACTGCCGCCCGGGCCCTCGCCATTCTCCCCGACAGAAGGGGGCCTGCTGGCCTGCGCACCACCCTGCCTTGCCCTTGGGGGTCTGTTCAAGTGGGAGCAGGTTTCTAGGCTGGGCGGTCCCCCCGGGCTGCAGGTGACTCGCAGACACTTCCTGCTTCCCTGCTTCCTACCTTCCCTCCTGGGAGGCAGAGCCTGGTGACTGGCAGGCGCTCCAGGCATTGGCTCCGAGTTGGACCTGGATCCCACGGGGGCATGTCACTGCTGCCTGTCAGTGAGGACGAGTTCCGCACCCGGGAGCGCTCGCACCCTTGTGTTGGCTGAGCCCTCTAGCAGTGGCGTCCTCGATCGTTCTCGTTGTCACCTTCCTGGTCCTTGTGTTGGTGCCCAAGGGGAGAGGGCAGGGATTGGGGCGCCCCAGCTGCCGAAGTCTCAGTGATGCGATTCCAATAGATCCTTCTGACCCTCCACTGTGGACTCAAAGCAGGGAGATGAAGAGGACAGTGACTGAGAGACCCAGGCAGCCCTCAGTTCCAGGGCAGACGCTCCTGAGGGTGGGCGGGGTGGGTGGAGCCACCCCTCCTCCTGGGCCCTGGTGCCGCGGCCTCCCCAGGTGCCGTGCGGCGCTGCTGGAGCCCAGGGCTCACAGCTGGGGCCCCAGCAGGCCCTGCGCATGCCCCCCAGGAGAGTGTGTGCACACAACCTGTCCCCCAGAGGGACCGGGGACACGGAGACCTGACCCTGTTCCGCCCCTTGGGTTCTGTCTCCAGGTAACCACCTGCCACCTCTCTACCTGGACGGCCATGTGTTTGCAAGTCAGCCCCGGCTGGTTCCTCAAACGATACCTCAGCAGCAGAGTTACCAACAGGTGACGGCGGCAAGCCAGGTGGCCTGGTGGGGAGTGGGGGTGGGGGTGTGATGTCATTACTTTCTTCGTTTATTCGTCCTCAGTCTTTTTCCCTGTGTCCCTCGCGTGTCTTGCCCGGCGCCTGGCATGTCACCGCAGCCAGTCCGTGTGGGTGGGGCGAATGCACGAGAGAGACCAGGAAGAGGAGTGGAGCTCAGTGCTCCAGCCTCGGCTTAGTTTTTCTGTCTCGGAGTCCTCCTTCCTGTGTCCTAGTGGGGGGTTAGCTGAAGCGGAGTCCTCTTTGGTGATCAGTGTCCTTCAGTGAAGACCAGGACGGCCTGGCCTCCCAGGCCCGGTGCGTTAGGAAGAAGTCTTAGAAACGAGGAGTGTTTGTTTTTACACGGGATTGGTGTGTCTTCTGCGTTGCACGGGGATGACTCCTGGAGGTCCCCTGAAGCCGGGGCGGGCCTTCCGGATGGTCCGGCACCCCCAGACCCGTGTGTCTGCACAGACCAGGCCCGTGGGGCTCCTGGGCGAGTCGGGGCTCGGCCTGTTCTGACCTTGTCCTTCTGAGCACGTCCTCCGCTATTACGTTCTTCAGCGTTGTAAGAGTTTGGTCTTCTCATGACTGGGTCACACGGCACATGTTCTGCGTGTGATCGTCCATCCACCATGGCGCTTCTGAGACCCTGCCCTGCTGGAGTGCATGGCTGGGACTCATTCTCTGCTGTGCAGGGTCCAGTAGAGCAAAAGGACGCAGGAAGGGCGTCCTGGAATTGGCCTTTTGGGCAGCGTTCCAGCTGCCGTGCCGAGAGGGCCTGGGAGCGGGGAGGGGACAGGGAATACAGCTTGGGGGGCACCACAGTGACCTGCCTGGCTTCCTCCCCACCCCCAGGCCGCCGCTGCCCAGCAGATCCCGATCTCCCTGCACACGTCTCTGCAGGCTCCGGCACAGCTGGGCCTGCGGGGCGGGCTCCCCGTCTCCCAGTCACAGGAGATCTTCAGCTCCTTGCAGCCCTTCAGGTGAGGCGGGAGGGCGGAGGGGCTGGCAGCACCCACGGGGCTCAGACCTCTGCAGCCTCACTCCCTTTGTTCCCTTGGCCCGCTGCTCCTCTGCCTTGGGGCCGTGGGAGCGGGGGGCGTGGCTGTGGTCCCTCACAGTTGTCATTACCTGCACTGCAGGCCAGGTGGGTCTGCTCCATCCTGCACCTCTGCCGTGCCTGCCCCCTCCTCTGCGCTTCTGGCCGCGCGTTCTGGGTCTCACATCTGGTGCTGTGGGCGTCACACAGGTTTTCCTGTGTCTTGTGGGTGTGTTGGTTTGTTTAACCCGGTGACGCTCCCACTGGTCCCCAGAGCAGCCCCTGGGCACCCGCGAGGACCAGGGCTGTCCAGCCTTTTGGCGCCTCCAGGCCACCCTGGAAGAAGAGTTGCCTTGGGTCACAGACTAAATGCATAGACACTAATGAAAACTGATGAGCAAAGAAAAGGTCTTAAGTACATTTGTGACCTTGTGTTGGGCCACATTCATGCTGCGGGTTGGACACTCCTGCTTCTAGAAGGTGGTTAGAAATGCGTGTTCTGACTCAGATCTGAGGGACAAACCCGAGGGGCGGGGCTGGCGGTGTGTTTGCGCAGGCCCTCTGGGGGTTCGCACCCATGGGCGTACTCACGCACAGGAGCCCCGCCTCTGTCTGGCTTTTACAGATCTCAGGTGTACATGCACCCCAGCCTGTCGCCTCCCAGCACCATGATCCTCTCTGGAGGCACAGCCTTGAAGCCTCCGTACTCGGCGTTCCCCGGCATGCAGCCCTTGGAGATGGTGAAGCCCCAGTCCGGCTCGCCCTACCAGCCCCTGAGCGGAAGCCAAGCCCTGGTCTACGAGAGCCAGCTCGGCCAGGCCGCCAGTCTCGGCGCCTCCCAGATGTTGGACTCCCAGCTCCCCCAGGTCAGGGGTTCAGCCTGTCTCACGCTAAACTCGAGGCCTCATTTCATTTTTTTTTTTTAAGATTTGAATTTATGTTTAGAAAGGGGGAGGGAGGGAGGAAGAGAGTCAAGAGAGTCAGAGAAACATCAATGTGTGGTTGCCTCTCATGCGCCCTCTACTGGGGACCTGGCCCTCAACCCAGGCTTGTGCCTGAGACTGGGAATCGAACCGGGGACCCTTCGGTTCACAGGCCAGCACTCGGTCCACTGAGCCACGCCAGCCAGGGCTCTTTCTGCCTCTTGCTGTGTGCTGACTCACATGCTGCTTGTAGCGCTGTCACTGGTCCTCGGGCTGCCAGAACCGGGGCCAGGTGCTCAGCCTTTCCTGCAGAGCGCCATCGCCTTTCAGCCCTAAAACGTGGCCCCGGGAGCACTGACTCTTCTGGAACCCCTCTCCCATCCTCCGCCTGACAGGCCAGGAGGTGGGGACAGTGCCCTCTGCGTGCTTGTTGATGCTTCCCAGTTCTCTCAAGGGACGTCTCGAGGCCAGTTCTGTCCTTTGGACCCGAATGCCCCCTGGTAGGCTGCCCACGCCTGTGTTCCAGCACCTCACAGCATCTCAGGCCTCACTTGCGCGGGTGCCGTGCCGCCATGGGGTTTTCCCCCTGGTCCGCCGGGCTGTCCGGTCCGAGTCACCCCGGGCTCAGGGCTGTTCCTCACACCCCTCTGCCTCGTCCACAGGCCCTGGCGGCGCTGCTTTTGAAAGTGATCTGGGCCCGGGCGGCCCGTGTCTGCTCCTGCTCTTGGGCCAGCACTCTGTTCTCAGCACAGCAGCCGGGGCCTTTCAAACCCAGTCTGGCCACCGCCCCCCCACCCTCCGCCGAGCCAGCGCTGTCACTGTGTCCATCCTGCACCCTGTGGTGCACAAGGCGGAGCCTGGGGCCCTGGAGCTCTGCCTGCCACATGTCTCAGTGATGCGAGTCCAATAGATCCTTCTGACCCTCCACTGTGGACTCAAAACAGGGAGATGAAGAGGACAGTGACTGAGAGACCCAGTGTGGCTCGCCCCGGCCTCCGGCCCGCATCTCCTGGCCCACCCCTCCCCTCACCCACCTGTTCTGGACGTTAGAAGGGGCCGGTCTCCTGGCATCGTGTGCTCCAACAGCAGCCAGGAGGCTCCAGTTTGGCTCCAAGAACTTGCACGCCCAGAGCCCAGGGGAGCCCTGTTCTCTCTGTCTGTATGCACAGCAAGGAAGGGCTGGCTTCTGCACAGCACAAAGGGCACACAGGTGCCCTTCCCCAGTTCTGCCCCCGCGTGCACCTGGGGTTCGCTGCCTGCGCTTTGCCTGCTGGCGCCCCGTGGCCGTGACCGGCACATTGCGGCACTGTTGTCGCGTTTCCGGACCTGCCGGGGTCTTGGCGCTTCCCCAGCACATAACGTGCCTTTCGTGGGCCTCAGCTGGGTACGAGCGAGAGGGACTGGGGACACCCACAGCTCTGCGGACGCAGAGAGGGAGGCACACTGGCCGTGCGGCCCTGGCCAACCCCGGCAGTCGCTTCCTCACCGCCCACTCCCATCCGGCAGCAGACTTGCCCCTGCCGTCACGCGTCAGGTCTAGGCGACCAGCCCCGCTTTGATGGGGATCCCGAACCTTCGCTGCTGTGTGAAGGCCTGGCTTTAATTCTTGTAAAATAAGGATCTCAGGTCTAGCGTGTGGTCGCTCCTGGGCGCGCGTGTCAGCGGTGGTTTGTAGCTTTCTCCCCGACTCCATGCCGCCTCCTGACTGTCCCCGTTGTCAGCAGCTGACGATGCCGCTGCCCGGCTCCCAGCTGCCCCTGCCGCGGTACGGCTCCGGGCAGCAGCCCCTGATCCTGCCGCCGTCCATCCAGCTGCCGCAGGGGCAGAGCCTCTCCGTCGGGGGCCCCCGCAGGCTTCTTCCGCCCGGCTCCCAGCCTTCCGTCCTTAACACCAGCAGAGAGGTAAGCGTGGCTCCTCCTTGTCTTGTCGGCCCTTCCGAGTCCACCAGACTCCCCTGTCGTGGCCTAAAATGCTAGAGGTCTCGGGTGCAACCACCCATTCCCTACTCACTGCGAGGTCCCCTCAGGACCCCCGGGTTGTGTGGAAGCTGGCAGTGTAGACGGGCCCGGGTGAGAGACACCCGGCACAGGAAGGCGTGTGCGGTTGGGGCTGAGGGAGCTGCTGGGGAGGCTGGTTCGGGTGCAGGCCCTGGCGGTTGGACAGTGCGGGGGCGGGGATCTGGTCCAGGGCTCTGCTGAGGACACCTCCCTCTGGGGCAGCGAGGGCACGGCACAGCCTAGCCAGCCCCCTGTGGTGGCACACGGGCCACTCTCCCCAGCCCCTTCAGACAGAAGGGGCACCAGCGCACTTGCAGGGGTGAGCCCTCGAGCCTGGATTCTTTCAGGAGATGCCTTTCTGCCCAGAAATTCTTCTGGGTCCTCCCGGACGCCCGTCGGCTCTGCCTGGAGCTGGGTCCTCGAGGGCCGGGTTGTCCCCAGGGCCACTGACCAGCAGCTTGTATCCCTGGTCTCCCCAGTCCTCTCAGATGGAGATGAAGGGCTTCCGCTTCGCCGACAGTAAACAGAATGTCCCTCCCGGAGGCGCTGTGCCCTCAGCCCAGACCTACAGGTAACGAGATGCCCAGGGGCGGACGCCGTGTGGCTGAGCGCTCGTGCAGCCAGGCTAGGGGTCCGAGGGCCCGGGGGGCAGCGCGGGGGGCAGCGCGGGGCGCCCTGGCAGCGTGTCCTGTGCATACCCATGCACAGGACGCCTTGCGCTGTCGTTAGCCTCAGGAAAGAAAGCCAGGGGTGAGTGTGTATTTAATCGTCGTCGTCGGTGCTCCGGTTGGGGGGGGCATGTTGGAAAGGTGGGGGGAGGAACAGCTAACGTGTTCATTGTGTCGGACCGATCCTGATGACGCGTAGCTTTCTCCCCAGCTTTTCAAAAAGGGTCCAATGGGGGGAAAAAGACGGGTCCAGTGGCCGAGAAGGCACGGCCCTGGGAGGTGGGGGTGTTCCTTCGGGCCCCGGGGCCCTGCCTCACGTAGAGCCGACGGCCCCTTCTCACTTCCTCTGGGTGCGCTGTCTCCGCCTCCGGTGAAAGCCCCGGGTCCCTCAGCTGGATGTGGGGATGGCTTTGTGTGAATTACTGGCTCGAACTCCTCGCTGCATTGGGAAGGCGGAGAGGCTCTGGCCCTGCCGGCTCTTTCAAGCTGAGAGAGCACGTGGAGGCCCGTGCCCGGGAAGGCAGCGCAATCCCGCTGGGGCCCTGGGGTTGGTGCAGTCAACTCTCCTCACGTGTGCGAGGTGCCTGGAAGTCCCTCCTGTTTGTGCATGGGTCACAGACACACGAGACTGTCCTTGCCCTGGGCGAGGTCCACAGCAAGGTCCACAGCGAGGCCCCGGCGCCCCAGCAGGCCCCGGTCCACCGAGGGGCGCTCCCACACGCCAGGTCGCCGGGTCCCGCCCCAGCTCGTGCGCGCAGTGTGTGGCGGCCGAGGCCTCCTGCCGCCTGGTCCGTCCTCCCAGCTGCGCGTCCAGACAGAGGGGTCTCTGTGGGCCTCCCACATTCCGTCATCTTTCCTGTTCTCATTTTTACTTTTTGGCTTCAATTGTTTTTGTTTGTTGCTGTGCTTTGTTTTCTGATTATATTTTTCGCATAGTCCAAAACCACAGAACTGTAAGGCCCGGGTGCGGGCCGCAGCCCAGAGCAGCACCTCTAATCTGGAAGAGGAAGGAAGGAAGCGAGGGGAGGGGGCAGCCCCGCCAGAGCCCCTCCCTTGGGCACACCCAGAGAGCTGAGGCTCCCAGGCCGGGAGTCGCCCCAGTCCGTGGGGCACGGAGGTGGCCGTCGCTTCACACGAGGGAAACCGTTTAGAAGATACAGCCCTCGATCAGTAGCTTCGTTTCGTTGGTGTTCTCATTGGGGCTGGGAACGGTGCTGGGCTTTTGTAGAGGGGGAGCATGTCCCGCTTCTCTGGCAGCTGCTTCTGAGCCCCGCCCTGCTGCAGGGACGCCCGGTCGGGTGTGGGGCCGGAGCTGCGCGGGAGGCGGCGTGTCGGCCCGGGCCCCTCAGCGCAGGGTCCGAGCGGCCCCACTGTCCCGAGTCCCGGGGCCTCGACACGCAGCTCTGCTCGCACTTCCGGACCACGAAACCCTCTTTTCTCGCGGCATCTGATTAACATCCCAGAGCACAGCTGTCTGGTCAGCGGCCCACATTTAGGGCGATACTTCCATTCGGCATCTCTCCACTCACGCCCACGCCCCCCACCCCCACCCGCCGGAACCGGGGAGCCTAGAAAGTAGGCGGCCCGACTCTCGCGTCGGGTTCAGGGACCTCGTGTCTGGTCGCAGGCGCCGTGCCGCAGACCCTCCGAGCCCCGAGAGGCGGTTCGTGTCCAGGCCGCCTGCCCCGCGTGCCGTCCCCGTGAGCTGTGCTGGAGGTCCCAGGGCGGCCGGCGGCTGTGCTCCGGCCGTCGGAGGTCTTTGTTTCCCTCTGACCGGAGGTCTGCGAGCCCGCTCCGGAGCCACCGCGCCGGGCTCGACTCCGTCTCTGCGGCGACGCGTGTGTTCTCACCCCCTGCCTTTGGTTTTTTCAGGCCTAGCTCTGCTAGCCCCAGTGGGAAGCCCTCTGGATCGGCAGTTAACATGGGCTCTGTGCAGGGACACTGCGCTCACCAGGTAGAACATGGCTTTCCAGACCCTCCCGCCCTGGCGCTCAGGCCCGTCTCCAGGCGCCTACAGAGAAGGGACTGTCCACCCCGTTTGTCTGCTCCTCTCGCAAAGAGAGACGTGCCCCGGCACTGCGAGCACGGCGCCGGGAGCCCAGGTCCCTCCTGGCGAAGGCGCTGCCCCCCGCCGGGCGCCTGGATCCTCCCTCGTCCCGCAGAGAAGGGAGGGTGCGGAGTCCTCGGAGGAGGTGGCGCCAGAAGGTGGCCGCCCCCCCTGTAGCGGTTTGGGCCCCGAAGGCGCTGGGACGGGGCTAGGTCCCTGGGCCGGCCCTGGCAGCTGGGACGGGCGTGTGTGCGGTGTGCCTGCGCGTGCGTGCCTGCGCCTGCTGCTGCTAGTGAGTGCTGTGTCTTGCCTTAGTCGTGGCGGGGAGGGACGGCAGTGGAGTGGCGTGCTCCCGTTTTGTCACGAAGGGGTTTCTCGGCGTCCCGGCCGTCAGGCACTGGTCTCCTCGCTGCCACACTAAGACGTGCCGGGCGCCAGCGCCCGGACCTGTGGGTGTGAGTCCGCAGTAGAGCAGCGCTCCCGGCTGGTGAGGGGCTGGGCCGCTCTTCCCCTCCCGGTGGGGCTCCCCGGAGGGCCGCCCCTCGAATTGCTGGGGTGGAGCTTCTGGAGCTCTCTTCCGGAGTGCACACCGTGGTGGGGACGGGATCGGGGCGGGTCCTCTGTGAGACACTGCCCATTGCGGACCTGCCGACTGTAAGGGAACACTGACTGGGAACCTCCAGAGCAGGCTCGGTCCTGGGGAGTGGCTCCCACAGAGTGTGGGTCGGGGAGTCACCCGGTGTGCCTAGAGGCCCCGCCCCCAGCAGGCAGGTGGGCTCTGCGGGGCCCCTGCTTCCTGTGGGCAGGGGGTGCACTGATTTGGAAAGGTTCTTCCAGTCGGCCTTGAACATGCCCCTCAGAGGCCCGGCGGCGTCCTGCCTCTCCGAATCACTGCACTAAGCCCCCGTGGCGGGGACAGAGCGGTGCCACCGGGCCCTCCCCAGGAGAGTTTCTTCTGAGGACGGGCTCCTTAGGGGCCTCTTCTCTGGGGCTCGGGAGCAGGAAGGGGCTGGGGCAGCTGTGCGTCCAGTCCAGACAGCCGTTTCTGTGGGAGGGTAACTCCTCTGTCTCTGTCCGTCTGTCCCAAGGCAAAACCACGAGTGGACGAGAAACCCAGCCTGGGCGCCGTGAAGCTGCAGGAGGCCCCCTTGGCCGCCTCCCAGATGAAGCGAACCGGAGCCATCAAGCCTCGGGCGGTGAAAGTGGAGGAGAGCAAGGCCTGAGGTGCTTGGCCACGCCTCGCCCCGAGGACAGCGCCGCCACCGGCCTCCCAGAGCAGGACGCTCTCGAGTCGCAGCAGCCTCGCCGCCCAGCCCCTGGCCCAGTGGAGACGTGTCCCTTCTCCTCTGCGCTCCTGAGAGCTCTGGCGTCCACCCAGCTTGCACCGTGGCTACGTGGCGTGGCGTTGACCTGCTTGCTTTAATACATACCAACAGCAAACGGTCCCCTTCCCGCCTCCTTCCCTCCACAGCCGTGCCCACTCGCGCCTCGGCTGTGCAGAGCCGCCCACCTCGGGCCTGCTCCTGGCCGGCGCTTCTGCTCAGTGCTTCCTTCCCTCCCGCCCCTCGCACGGTGGTGTGGCAGCGGGGCCTTTCGTTTGGAGGTTTTAGTTTTGAAGAGCAGTTAAGGTTTTCACAAAGGAGAAGGGAAAACAAAACACAAGCTGTTCTCGGTCGCTGAACTTTTATTTTATGTAAATTCTTCGCCAGCTTCTCCCTGACCCCGCCTCGTGCTCCAGTAGCTTCTGTAAGCCCCTCCTGTTGGAGTTGATACCTCAAGCTTCGGAGGTGGCCTGTGTGCCCCTCCTGCGCGCGCTCGGTCGGTTAACCTGCGAGGGGATTTGGAACAGAAGCGAGGTCACGTGGGCCCCGTCCCAAACACCCTTGCGTCCAACTGTGTGCTTCGGAAGCCGTGGATTCCAGCCCCGGCCTGGGGACCACAGGGAGCTTACAGGCAACCCGGAGAGGCTGATGGCGTTCTCAGCATAAGAGCTAGACAGAATTCCTGTCCCGGACTGTGCTCACGCCCTCGGGCGTGCTGACCGCTGGCCCCGGGGAGTCACGGCAGCATGACGTCACGGTGTTTTCCAGTTGGGCCCGACATGCGAGCAGGCGGCACCAGGCCCCCACCCACCCACGGGCGTCTCTGCTCCCGGGGCCCTGGCCCCCGCAGGGGCTGCCCCTTCACACACCCCTCTCCGGGGAGCCTTGCGTAACGTGCCCTTCTCCACCCTCCCTCCTCCTCCTCCTCCTCAGCTGGGCGCCCCGTCCCTCTGCCTCACACGGCTCTGGGCAGGAAGCCGCGAGGTCCCCCGAGAGGCCGCGTGCTGGGGCCTGGGCGGGGCCAGTGGCCTGCGAGGCTGCTCGGGGCTTCCCGTTTCCCCCCTCATCGCACCCAGCAGCGGAGCCGGGCTGCCTGGACGGAAGGGCCTGAGTGGGGCCGCAGGCCGGGGCAGGGTGCAGGGGGGGCCGTGCCGCAGCGCTGACCGGGGCTCCAGAACGGCCGGGGCAGCCTCCCCGGTCTGCAGGGCTGCCTCTAGCAAAATGTTCGCACGAGCCATTGTATGCTGAGTTTTTGTTGTTTTCAAAGTAACTAAAATCACCCGAGATTCCGTCATTCCAAGGAAAGGGAAGGGGAAAGTTCAAGTTTTGCACATGCCCTTCCGAGGAGCTAGTTGGCCATTTACAGAGAGGGGTTGCTGCCGCTGGTTCCATAGAACCTGGCCTGAGGACTGGTGGTGGGTTGGTGGGGTGACCACTTTGTGTCACCACAGGCGTGTGACAGATGCTCAGGCTGTGTCTCTAAGCTCTGCGTCCAGTGCAGACCACGGGGCACGAGACGCCTCAGGCAGTGCTGGGGAAGCTCGAAGAGTTGCTGGTTCCTGCATTAAGGATGTGGGGTCACAGCCTCCTTGCAGAGTCCCCGGGTGCGCCCCACACGGCATCTGGAGAAAGGGCCAGTTTTCTTGGAAGATGCTTTAATACTCAGCCTGTGGCCCTCAGCACCCCCTTTCGCTGCCACCCTCAGACCTTTTTACCGGCTTCTTTTTCTTCTTCATCCCTTGAATCTTGCCTCTGAAGTCCCTTCTCAGAGGGCTGCCCACTTGACAGAGTGGCCTGCACTCCCCTGCCCCAGGAGCCCATCTGCTCTGCCCCTGCCCCGCAGGTGGGCGGCTGGTGCCCGAGGCCCCACCTGCAGCCCCACTCCCGCCTGCAGGAGACATGAGCCCCGCTGGCTGCGCTCCAGGAAACCCGGCCAGACCCCTCACACCCGGTTCCGGTGCCCACTGTTTGCCTCCAGGGAAAAAGGTTTTCTCGTTTCAAAATTCAACAGAACAGTCCTGAAGGCTGTTAAAACTCAAGCTGTTCCTGTCAGGTGATCCTGCCACTGGAGTGACAGTACTTCTGTTTGAGGAAAAGTGAAAACAGAGGGATCACCTCTCCTCCAGCCCTCTTCTCCACCCCTGTATTTTCTCTCCACCCCAATAAAAACAGAAAACACTAGACTTTATTTATATGTATTGATGTTGTAGGTCTAGGTGAAGAAAAAGTAAATGTTTCACTGCTCTATTTATATATAATGTCTGAACTGTTCTGTGCAGGAAAGGCCAGGAACTTGCATGTGACGTTCAGTGCTGTCGCCGCCTCCGTGCGCCCATGCGCAGCCTCTTCCCACCGAGACACAGATCTCCAGGCGGACGAGGGGCGGAGCGGGGGCCTCGGGCCTGCCCAGCACACCGTCCCTTCCTTGGTCTGATTAAGTGCAGTTTTTAGTGCAGAGATGTTTTAAGGTGCAATCTCTCTTCCTTTCGCGTGGTTTTAGAGCCAAGCTCAAGGTAGTAGGACTCTGGGTCGTCTTTTGGTTCCACACACCCCCTCTCTTCAGAGCGCAAATCCGCACAGAGGCCTCTGCCAGGATGTCCTGGGGCCTTTGGTGGGAACACGTGAAAAACAGAACTCGACCTTTGATGCTGCCGAGACGGGCGGTGTCAGAGCCCGCTCACACACCTTTGCCTGCCAACGTCGCCCTCCCTTCTGATGCTGGCCGCTTCGCCCTGGCCATCGGCGGTGCCGCCCACTGCGCGGCGGCCGCAGTGTGTCTGGCATCGCCTACTCGGTGGAGTGAAACCCCCGAGTGTGGGTTAGGGCTGAAGATTTCTCTGCCGGCTCTGGTTTGGTTTCCTTCACTGTCGCTCCCCCTTTCTGTCCACATTACTGTTTTCAAGCTTGGAATCCGTACACTAATGGCTCTAGGTTCCTTAAGGAGGAAAACTGAGGATGACTCCTACACATTCAGAAAAATCGGTTTGTCCAATTCCAAAGCTGTGGTCACTCCAGCCACTTCCAGGAATATTGGGGTATCTTGTTCAACGTTGGCATCCGTTCTCTCCAGCGATGCCCTCGCCTCCTGTCTTCTGGATTGCCTTCCGGATGGCTGGCGCGGTTTGTGACTGACGCTCGGAGCCAAGGAGGCCGAGGGAGTGCGCGGCCGAGGTCAGAGCCGGCCTGTGGCGTGGCGGACTGGTGCAGCCCCTCCCTGCCCATCGGTTCCCTTCACCAAGTAGCTGCACGTTGCCTTTCTCCTGCCCTTGTCCCCCTCCACCTGCAGAGCAAGCCTGGGTCAGCAGGTCTGTCGGAACGGGCCTTCGACACCCGAGGATGCTGCCGTGTCTGTGCTTTGTCGTGTTCTGGGACGAGTGGGAGACTCGGATTGCAGAAAGCCAGCCCTTCCTGTTTGGAACGTGAGACGGAACTGAGACAAATGGGTCACCCAGGACGGAGATGACTCGGTGTTGGGGTCAGACCCCTCTGTCCTCGGCCCTGTTCTCCACCCGGACCACCAGTGCGTATCTGGCTAGTCATCTTCCAGGCGCGCCGGCCTGCTGTCCACCGTCCTCCGCCCGGGCTGGGTGGCCTCCACCGGGGCGGCAGTGTCCCGGGGCCCTGTCCGCAGCATGTTGCAAAGCCTCCAAGTGGACGTGTCTACCAGGCTCTGTGTGGATGACTTTCTCCCATTGTTTAAAGGGGACACTGTACTGTAAGCTTTTGACCTCATGCCTTGCATAGTAAAGAGAGTTTGGGGTTTTTTTGAGAGGGTTGTTTGTTTCCTTCTGTTTTTATTTTGGCCTTTCCTCTCTTTGTCTTTTCATGTAGACCAGATATTTGAAAGGGCAGACGATGGCTAAAGGTGTAATGTGCAGCTTGTTTATACATTATTTCTGGGGCGCTTGTACCTTGGATGGGAAATGGAATATCGGGTTCACCAGGCCCTGGGGCCACACTCACCCTTCGCCCTTTCCCTCTGGTTCAATACCTATTGTTTCTCCTTTCAAATATGTGATTGTACTAACTCTTTCCATATGAAAGAATTCTCCTTATTTAAATAAAAAAAAAGTAAAAAAAAAAACCCACCCTACATTTGCACATGCTTTCTCAGGCTGTGTCCCCCCCCAGTCCTACCATTTCCCTTCCAGAGGGTCTCCCTGTTGATCAGTGATTTGGCTGAAGCAGCGTGGGGGAGGGAAGATTGAGCCTGTGGGTAGGGTGCACCTTCCAAACGGGCCAGCAGGAGCAGTCCCTGCCCCCTGCCCTCTCCCTCCTGGGAACGGGGAGTGGGTTGAAGGTGAGCATCTGCTTTGTTCTGTTCAGCTGCTGGGCCTCGGGCCCCTTTCCCTGGAGGTAGGAGAGGCCTGTGCTGCGCCCTGGGGTAGGAAAGAGCAAGGACCGAGAGGCGTGGGGCAGAGAAGGGGCGAGGGCTTGGGCGGTAATTCTCAGGTCTGCGATCTCCTAGCTGTGTGACTCTAGGAGGCGTTGATACTCGGTCGCTATTTTTTTAGCAGCGCCGACCTCAGGGAGCAGTGTGGATGCCAAGGGGTCGTGGGCAGCACTGAGTGTAGCGCCTGGCACCGGCTAGAAATACAGGGAGCCTGTGATTTGTCCCCAAGTTAAACAGTTTCCATGAGAAAACCCTGCCCCTAGGGGGGCTCCTGAGCACACCCATCCCCCGGGTCCCCAGCCCCACTCCTCCCGGGGTTCGGGGAGCCCTCTGGCCACAGCGGGGCGCGTCGCGGGTAAATCAGAAGGAACAGCCGGCGTCACCTAATGCTGGGGTGACCGGCATGTGGGGAAAAAGGCTTAGCAAACAGCAAAGACCTGTAGTCGCAGTTAAGTCTGCAGTAGTCTTTCTGTCCGCATTAACTCGCACGTAGACGAGGGGGTCGCGACCGAAAGCAGCGCTCCCGCGGGTCAGTGTGGCGCTCCCGGCTGCACCACGCTGAGCGGAAGGCGGACACGGTCCCTCTTATTTTAAAAGACGCAAAGGCACTCCGCAACGCCACAGCCCTCACTGACGTGCTGGAGACGCGAGGCCTTCACGTAACGTGACCTCCGAGTCTGCGGCGGCGCCCACCCAGTGCGCACGCGCGCCGCTGCCGGTCGGACTCCACAGGCCTGGCGAGTCGAGCGTCGAGCAGGTCGGTGGGCGGTGCTGAGCGCGGAGCGGCGTACAGTACGCCTCCCCCGACGGATCTCAGGCGTAGCCGGGCTTGGGGAGCAGCTCTGCGGGGACTGGAAGAAACGCGAGTACGTTTGCGGCTCCGGGGACTAGAGGCCAGTGGGAGGACCGGGGAGAGCCAGTGCAGGGGGCGCGTGCTCCACCTGCGGGTCAGCAGGGGCCAGGTGGTCCGGTGCCATCCGAACAGGGGGCGGGGCCGGGCTGGCGCGCCAAGGGAAAGTAGCAGGACGCCTGGGGGCAGGTGAAACTTCTGGGGAAGCTAGTGGCCGGGAACGAGTGCCGCCTGCGGGAGAGAAGGGGAGCGCCCAGGAAGAGGAGCGGGGGCCTGCCAGGCAGTTGCAGCTTCAGGGCGGGGGGCATCCGAGGCAGACTCAGCCCTAGGGAAGTGGCACTCCAGGGACCCCTAATCCTCAGGGTGACAAGAGGGGCGCCAGGGCCTGGTGCTGCCCAAGGATGGAAGGGAGGGAGGCACGTGGGGCGGACTCGGAGGCTCGGAGGCTCTGAAGGTGCAGGTCACCCAGATGTGAGCCGGCTGCACTGCCCGGGTGGGAGGGAGGGCCGGGAGGCCATCTCGTCCATCCCAGCGGCCTGCCTCCCAGGAGGTGCTCAGCAGGTGCTGGAACAGATAGAGTGCGTATGCAGTCTGGAGGTTCCTGAAGCCCCACCTTGGTGGACTGCAGTGCCTTCTGACTCTCGCCAGCCCCACAGCGTGGTTCTCCTGGGTGCATCTGAGACCCTTTCTGCATCCTCCGAGCCTTTCTGGTTGCCACCCATGTAGTGGTGACAGCTGTTACGGTCTTTTCCAGGGACTCCACCGCGGCTTGCTTTTCTACGGGATGTTGGAATTTTTGCAGCGCCCTGTAGTGGTGACGGCTGATGTCAACCTCAGCGTGGTGGCTCTGACTGTGGTGGGGTTACTGAGCCGGCTGTGGCGACTCACCTATCCCAGGGCTGTGGTGTAAGCCAAACAATGCCTTTCGGGGTGAATCAGAAAGAACTGTGATTTGTTGGTGGCAGCGCCAATGGGGGAGTGAAATTCTGGGCTTGTCAGTGATCGATGTTTGGGGCAGTTAGAGGAGAGACTGGTTTGTCCCCAGGAAAACCCTTCCAGAGTCCACTTGCTCAGTCGGTCCCCCGAGGTCTGTTGCCAGCGCAGTAGCCTCGGGTGCCCATTTACAAACTGGAGACTGGAGGGCCGAAGACTGAGGGTACAGAAGTGAGTGCTCACTGACGTTGGAGTGTGCGCTTTGTCGCAGTGGGAAGTGGTTCCTTTCACTATCAAAGGGCTATTGTCTGTTACCTGGTTAATGCACGTGTTCTTTTTCACTTAACTTTTTTTTTAAAGATTTTATTTATTTATTTTTGGAGAGGGAAGGGTGGGGGAGAGAGAGAGAGAGAGAGAGAGAGAGAGAGAGAGAGAGAGAGACAGAGACATCAATGTGCGGTTGCTGGGGGCCGTGGCCTGCAACCCGTGCATGTGCCCTGACTGGGAATCGAACCTGCGATGCTTTGGTTCGCAGCCCGCGGTCAATCCACTGAGCTACTCCAGCCAGGGCTCACTTAACTTTTATTGTTTTGTAAAGATTTTAAATTTTATTTATTCACTTTTAGAGAGAGGGAAAGGAGAGAGAAAGGGAGAGAAACATCACCGTGCCAGAGATTTGGTTGCCTCCGCATGTGCCCCACTGGGGACCTGGCCTGCAACCCAGGCATGTGCCCTGACTGGGAATTGAACCGGCAACCTTTCGGTTCACAGGCCAGTGCTCAATCCACTGAGCCACACCAGCCAGGGCTTATTTAACATTTCATTATGGAAAACATCAGAGGGGACTGTGTGGGGAACGGGTGAGAGGGGATTAGAAAGGGCAAACAGGTAGTTACAGAACAGTCATGGGGACGTAAAGTACGGTATAGGAAGTGGAGCAGCCAAAGAACTTACAGGCATGGCCCATGGACATGAACAAGGGTGGGGGCGGAAGATCAGGACAACTGTAATAGCATAATCAATAAAATAATTTTCAAAAGAAAACATTAAGCATACAGAAGTAGGAAAAATAGTGTAATGACCCCTCACCAGTATTCATGACCCAGCTTCAACAGTCACCGGCTCATAGCTGCCCCTCACTGCAGCGAGGTTTTTTTTTAAGTCATAGACATATTTCATTCATAAGTAATTCAGTATACATGGGTGGGCAAAATAGGTTTACAGTTTGTAGGGCAAATACTACAAAAATTAAGTAATAATACAAGAATAAACCCTGTTTGCTGTACTCAGAACTGTAAACCTACCTTCCCTCACCCCTGGCGATCTCTCCAAGATCCAGGTTCTTAACACACGACCACGGTGGCATTGTTGCACCCGAAAACACGGGACAGCAATTCCTTCTGGTCATCACTGCAAAACGTTTTGTTGCAGCTGGTTCTTATGTGGTGCTGATAGGCAAGACCATCGGTGCCGGGTCCATGAGGCCTTTTTCGGAGGGGGTTGGCTAATGGCTCACCCCTAAATCAAAGCCAGAGAGAGCAGTAGACTCCGTGTCGGGAAGGCCTGTCCTTACGGGCTGATGATGCTGTACTCGGGTCTTCATATCTGGGGCCCGCTTTGTGGTTGGGGCGGCCGGCCCGGCCTTTGCCGACCACTCCCTGACATGGTTTGGAAACAGGAGCACATGTGTCCTGGCGCCTTTTAAAGCTATGATCCATAGTGAAATGTAACGTGGGTTTGTTTTTCAGTTTCGACGAAGTGTATTATGGGCAGTACATCTCTCTCTACATGAAGCGAGTCTTCTTTTTCGACGGCAGTGGGCCGCCCTTGGGCCACATGCTGCTGGCCCTGGGAGGTAGGAGCCTTTCCAACATCGGGGTGGAATTTCTCGAGGGCAGGAGCCATGTCTTGTTACTGGTTTCCCACGGTTTCCCTACTGGCAACAGTTCGGCTACTCCTGACATGTTGCCGAATGGGATCGTTACTGAGTGATCCTGTTGCAGGTTATTTGGGAGGATTCGACGGTAACTTTGTGTGGAACAGAATCGGAGCAGGTAAACCACCGTGTTCACGCCCCTGTCGGTGGTCACGTGTTCGAGTCCTGGCGAGGCCGCGCCTGCGCAGGCCCTCACAGCTGTGGGCGGGGCGTCCGGGTCCGGGGGTGTGGTCAGCTGGGAGTGCAAGTGAAAGGTTTTCAGAAACCCTGGTGAATCTCTTAGTAGTTATTAATTATAGTAACCAATTTATTTCTAGTTTTTGGCACACACACACAGCACAGTCTTCACGCGCATGCATCTCAGGCATCGTTTGTGCGTGGACACTGTGTGTGCCGCCGCCGTGTTTCAGGACATAGGTGGGCGGTTTATGAACCTGAGGCATCAGCTCCTTGCAGACGGGGTCGCCGTTCCTGTGCGCGCGCACCTCGAGCTGGTGTCGCAGGCGCTCCCCTACGGTCCGGTCCCCATGGCGTCCCCAGTCTTGTCAGCTTCCGTCCTGGAGTCTGTGAATGTGGGGCTGTTTAAGACCACGGGGGCCTGTGCGCGGCGGGCTCAGCGTCTCCTGTCGCTTCCTAGAGTACAGCAGCAACGTGCCGGTGCGGTCCCTGCGCCTGCTGCCGGCCCTCGCGGGGGCCCTGTCAGTCCCCATGGCCTACCAGATCGTGTGGGAGCTCGGCTTTTCCCACTGTGCCGCCCTGGGAGCCGCCCTGCTGATGCTCATCGGTGAGGCCCGGGCCCTGCCGGCTGTGGTGTGGCCCCGGGGGGAAAGGGGCGCGGGTCCTGGCTAGGTTCCGGTGTGGCCCGGAGTTTAGTAGACGTGCCCCTGCGCTGGCTCCTACTCCCAGCGGGGAAGGAAGCTCGGCACTCTGTCCACATCGGACTCTGGAGTCACCCCTCTCCCAGGCTGTGGGGGCGTGGCCAGGCAGCTGTGAGCACCTCCACCTGCGCCCACTCTGCCACTCGCCGATAACCTGGCTCCTTCCACCGCCTCCCAAGCCCAGGCCCAGCCCAGCGAGGTGGGGGCGGTCCGTGGGTGTTGTTCGGGAAGGGCTTTCAGCCCGGGTTTACGGACCAAAGGAATTCACTCACAGGCAAAGTCGGACTCCAAGACAAAAAGATTCGTGTGTATTGAGTGACGGCTCCCAGGGAGCCCCCGTGCCCACATAATGTTGAAGCGTTCACGGCAGCCCCGCAGGGTTGCTGTTCTTCTGCAGACAAGGAGAGAGACTCCCGACAGTGCAGTGACTCTGACACCGGGCCTTAGTGGGTGTGGCTCACGCCTAAGGGTTTGCCCTTGGGGTAGAGGGGCAGGGCCCCCTCCAGACACCCTGATCCTGAACGTCCCGCCCTTCCGGTCTGAGCCATTTAGAATGTTCTCTTTGCAAACATTTTCATCTTGGTCCCTGCGCCCTTGCGTCCTTACCGCTGACACGTGTCCCCTTGCCCACAGAGAATGCCCTCATCACTCAGGCGAGGCTCATGCTTTTGGAATCGGTGTTGATATTTTTTAATCTGTTGGCCGTGCTGTCCTACCTGAAGTTCAACTCCCGAAAACACAGGTATGGCGTGTGGGGCCTGCCCTCCCTCCTTACTGAGAAGGAGGAAGCCGGGTGGGTTCTGTCGACCCAAGAAGGGCTGACGCCTTTTCGTTCCGGGCAGCGTTGGGTCACCCAGATGGGCCTTTGGCTTGTGACTTCATAAATACATCCTCGTTTTTCTGTAACTTACACTTAATCTGGAGAACCGTTCTGGCCAAAAGGAAAAACCTAGCTGGGGCTGGCGGTTTGAAGCAGAGGGAGGGTTCATCTTCCTTGTCCCGGAAGCTCAGTGCAGCCAGGGGGCCAGAGAGATCACGGGGGATGTGGCTGGAGGACCGGTCCCCAGCCCTGCCTCCCCGCCCCGCCCCCAGGCCCTTCTCTCCGAGCTGGTGGCTTTGGCTGACGCTGACGGGAGTGGCCTGCTCCTGTGCAGTTGGGTGAGTCTGGCCCCCACCCAACCCCGCGTCTGAGGGGCGCCCGCACCCTCCTCGTCTCTGTCTCATTTTAACTCCCTCTCCGCGGGTCTTCTCAGCATCAAGTACATGGGCGTTTTCACTTACTTGCTGGTGCTTGGAGTTGCCGCCGTGCACACCTGGCACCTGATAGGCGACCGGGCTCTGTCTAACGTGAGTGCTGATGGCGGGCGCCGCACCAGGCTGGCCGCATGGGGTGCGCAGCGGGTGGGAGCGGCACGGCTTCTGGAGGGGACGGGAGGCCGGGGCTGCGGTGTGAGCTCCGGCGCCTGCGCTGTGCGAGGTGGGCGTGCCTGCCTGCCGGTGTGCGGGCCGGGACGACGCCTCTGCCTCCGCCTCCGCAGGTCCGTGTGCTCTGCCACGTGCTGGCCCGCGCGGTGGCGCTGCTCGTCCTCCCGGTTGTCACCTACGTGCTCTTCTTCTACGTCCACTTGACCCTGCTCTACCGCTCCGGGCCCCACGACCAGATCATGTCCAGCGCGTTCCAGGCCAGCCTGGAGGTGAGAGCGGACGCCCCGCCCCCTCGGGGAGATTAGCGGGAAAAGCAGTTGGAGAAATGCGGCCAGCGCTCCCGTTCCGCCCACCAATCCTGAGCGAGCGGACGGTGCAGAAATAAGTGAGGGCCTGGCCCCGCTGGGGTGATCTCCTGCGACCACGGAGCGGCCCTGCGGGCTCTGGCGGCGGCGCAAGTGCTTCCCGGGACCGGCACAGCGCCGGGCTCCACTCAGGCAGCCTTTGCGGAAACAGGGAAATGTCCTGGGTGCAGTGTTTGGGGACTGTGGCCCTGAGTCGCACGGCCCCCGCTCTGAAAGGCTGGCTCTGTTGAGGCCGGTTCTGCGTGTGGGGGCAACGTGCACTCAAGTGTGGCTTCTCATGCCTTAGACAGACAGGATCACCCTGACTCACGGGGCGCGGCGGGGCTCCTGGGCTCCGGCGCCGGGGGCCGCTGTCAGTGGGGCAGCTGCAGTTTTGTTTGGTGTCGCACGGCAGGGTCGGCAGGGTCGTGCCCCGTGGGACAATGATCGCCCACACCCCCGACACGCTCCCGGACGGAGGAGCAGCCATCAGGGCTGGCATGCTGGTGTCTGTCTCTCACCCGCCCCCGTTTGCTCGCGTCCTAGGGAGGGCTGGCTCGGATCACGCAGGGCCAGCCCCTGGAGGTGGCCTACGGTTCCCAGGTGACTCTGAAGAGCGCCTCCGGCAGACCCGTGCCCTGCTGGCTCCACTCGCACCAGAGCACCTACCCCATCATGTAAGGAGAGCCGCGTGCTCCGTGGAAGGTTGTGAAAGGTTTGCTTTTCACGCGTGGGGTGTTGCCAGCCTGCACTTTACACGTGAAAAGGTTCACGGGACAGAAAGAAATGGAGCTCTGAGATCTGACTGTCAAAGAGTCCCGGCATTTCTGCCTGTGAACCCCTGCAGAGCAAAGGGGCCCCCCCCGTGCCCGGCGTGCGTGAGACGCCCACGCTGGCCACCTTCTGCCCAGCATTCCTGCTGCCTGGGGCGTGTGTTCTCGACGCCCCTAGATTTCAGCTTCCCATCGTTTGGTCCTTACGCTCCCCCAAGTCCCTTGCTGGGAGGTCTTCTCGGGGACTTCGGGAGAGCGGCCGACGGGCCCTCCGCCAGCCCCCGTGAGCCGCGGTTCCGTGTGGGCCCCGCCCCGCAGGTACGACAACGGCCGCGGCAGCTCCCACCAGCAGCAGGTGACCTGTTACCCCTTCAAGGACGTGAACAACTGGTGGATTGTCAAGGACCCGGGCAGGTGCGGAGGTTTTGCTTGTTTATTTATTTTAGAGAGAGGAGGAGGAAAGGAGAAAGAGAGGGAGAAACATCGAGGTGTGGTTGCCTCTCGCACGCCCCCTGCTGGGGACCTGGCCCGCAACCCAGGCATGGACCCAACCGGGAATCGAACCGGTGACCCTTTGGTTCGCAGGCCGGCACTCAGTCCACTGAGCTGCACCAGCCATTTCCAATTCAAGGGTGGCTGGCAGAGCTCCCCTCCTGGCCTTGCCAGAGGGGGCCCTTGAGGGGCAGTGCTCGGCCCTCCCCTCCCTCCTTCCCGCCCTCCCTCCCTCCCTGAAGCTTGGAGTCCAGCCCTGGGCGGGGGGCCCTCGGTCACGGGTGAGATCACCCCGCAGCGAGATGCCCGCTCAGTGTCCCCTGGTGTTTGCAGACCTGTCCCCACCCCTCTGTGCAGAACAAGAACTGGCCCCGCCCCCCGAGAAAGCCATTTTCCTGCTCAGACCCACAGACAGAGGACCCCCCTCCCCTCCCCTCCAGCCAGCCAGCCAGCCAGTCCTAAAGGTTCTGCCTCCAAACAAGATCTCGACCCGTCCAGATCTCCGGCTCTTGTCTCCCCGCTCCCCATAAGGGTCTGTGTCCACGCCCGCCACCCCGCCCCAGCTTCGGCAGCCCCCCGAGGGGCCCTTGAAAACGGAGCTGGCGTCGAGTCGCTCCCCAGTGCAGCCCCTTGCCCAGCTTCCGTCGCCCCCAGAATGAAGTCCAGACCCCGCCCTCCGGGGCCCTGGCTCCAGCTCCTTCCCGCCCGCCCCGTCTCACGCACGCTCCCGCCCCTGCTTTTCCGGAGCTAGGCAGCCTGTGGCTGCAGGCTCGGCGTCGCTGTCTGTCTGTCCCGCAGCCTGGACCAACCCCGCCCGCCCGCCCGCCCGGCTGCTCCTCACCTAGACCTGGGGGTCAGGCCCCCCCAGAGGCTACCTGGACCCCCCCACACAGGGCTCCACACCCTCCTCTTGGTCGCTGTCCTGCTGGACGTGGCTTCCCGAGTCCGCGCTCACAGGCAGTGTGCGCACTCGCTCACGGGCTTTCCACGTAGCGCGGGAGCTTGGGGGTGGCGGCCACGCCCGGCGCCCAGCCCTGTGTTGGGGCCGGTGGGGCGCCGGGTGCACCCGCCCTGGATCTGCACAGGCCAGAAGTCCGTCCGGGAGGCTCTCCGGGCGGGCACCGTGGCCTTGGTTCACAGGTAACAGGGCAGCCAGAGCGCGGCTGTGGCGGTGGGGCCCGTGTGGACGCGTGGAAGGGGGCCATGGGTTCGAGAAGCAGGTCCGATAAAACGCGTTCCGTTTTACATGGCTCGCCTCGGTGAAGGGGCGCAGGGACTGGGTGGCTGCGCAGTTCCAGTCGTCCCCACCGGGAGTGCCCCGAGCGCCCTCAGCCAGCCTGTCTCCCCAGGCACCAGCTGGAGGTGAGCAACCCACCGAGGCCCGTGCGGCACGGGGACGTGGTGCAGCTGGTGCACGGCATGACCACCCGCCTGCTGAACACGTGAGCGCCCGCCCCTCCCCCTTTCCCCCCGGGGTCCCTGCTCACCACCTCGGGGGTCCCTGCTCACCGCCGCGGTCTCCCCCTCCCTGGGGCTGCAGCGGCAGGGGAGGGCAGGGAAGAGGTGGCCTTAGTGAGGGACCAGGGGCCGGGAGGCCGGCCCGAGAGCTTCGAGGGTGCAGGCGAGGGAGGGCAGCCCGATGCAGTGGCCCTTCCGTCCGCGCCGCCGCCGGAGTGTCAGTGAGCCCAGCAGAGTCAGGACCGGGGTTCCGTGGGGTCGGGAGGGTGAGGACATGTTGACTCTCAGCCAGCCCTGACCTGACTTGACCTCTGAGCAGCCCTGTATTTGGGGGTGCCCAGGCCACCCCCCACTGTGCTGCCACTCAGCACCTCCAGTGGCCGTGCCACACTGTCCCCTGGACACGTGGTCTCTGGTGTTTCGGCCTTTTCCGTTTCACTCGTCACCGAGCCTGCGGTGGCGCCTCTCTGCGTCGTAGTGGCTGCGGACCGGCCAGCTGTCCCTTCAGGCTGAGCCACCACCTTTGTTTCTGAGAAGCAGCCTTGTCCCCTTCGAGAAACAGCGGGCTGGAACCCCTCCCCGAGTGCTGTCTGGTGTTGCAGGCACGACGTGGCGGCCCCCCTGAGTCCCCACGCGCAGGAGGTGTCCTGCTACGTGGACTACAACATCTCCATGCCCGCCCAGAGCCTCTGGCGGCTGGTGAGCCCTGGCGCGGGGGTGGGGCGTGGCAGTGGGCCGGGCTTTCGAAGGAGCGTTTGAAACCGCGCTTAGGACGACTCTGATTCGGGGGTGAAGTCGGGAAGCTGACGTGCCGTCGTAAAGGGCTGTGGGGTCTTCGCAGGGAGCAGAGACCGTGGGGGCCGGGGGGTTTCCTGTGTCGGATGAACAGTTTACCCGCAGTCGGTGCAGGCTCGGTGCCAGGCCACGTGCGGCCCACGTGGCTCTGCCAAAAGGAGATGCTCCCACGTGGTCACTTGGTGAGCTTAAGACCAGGCCACTGAACACGGGGCGGGGGCTCCGGCCACCCTCAGCCAACCAGGGAGCCTCTGTCAGCCCCGTGCCACAGATGCCCCGTGCCACAGAGGTCCCTTGCCACAGACACCCCCGTGCCATGTGTGTGCATGTGCTCTGCTTCGCCATCCTCTCCTCCGATGTCCCCACCTGAGGGGAGGTGTTCGCGCTGCCCTTTGTCATCAGCACCCCCGCCCCCATGCTGCTGTCTGGCTGCCGAGGGCTCTTCGCTGATCCCTTCCTCCTCCTCCTCTCCTGCTGGTGGCCCCTTGCATCCCACGTGGAACGGGGAGGACAGCTGACCACAGCACAGCCCCTGGGGTTCTCCGGTTTTTGCCAACAGCTACGTGACCTTGCGGGGTTGTTGCAAGGCTGTGACAACGCAAGTGCTCTTTAGATGTTAGGGGTTTTTTTTGGGTTTTTTTTAAAGATTTTATTTATTTATTTTTAGAGAGGGAAGGGAGGGAGAAAGAGAGGGAGAGACAGAGAAACATCAATGTGCGGTTGCTGGGGGCCGTGGCCTGCAACCCAGGCATGTGCCCTGACTGGGAATCGAACCTGGGACACTTTGGTTTGCAGCCCACGCTCAGTCCACTGAGCTACGCCAGCCAGGGCAGATGTTAGTGTTTTATTACCCGGCATCAGGACTCCCCTGAGGGAGCCTTTCGGGCACAGTCTCGAGCCTCCACTGTGCCCCCTTCGCCCTGCGGGGGAGCCAGCACCCCGGAAGTGCAGGGAGGCCCGAGCTGCCTCTGCGGGGTGGTGCGGCGTCCCCCGGAGGACCGGCCTGCTGGTCCCCTACACCAGCCGCGTCGCCCCCGGGGCTTGCTGCCGGGTCTTCGCGTCTGCCCGTGAGGAGGCCTGAGGAGGGAGGGAGGTGACCCGCGGACCCGCTGTTGCAGGACGTCGTGAACCGCGAGTCGGACTCGGAGACTTGGAAGACCATCCTGTCGGAGGTTCGCCTCGTGCACGTGAACACGTCCGCCATCCTGAAGGTCAGGGGCGCCGCTTCTCGGCCCCGCCGGCCCGCCCCAGCTCTGGGCCTGCAAGGCCTGCGCGTGCGCGTGCGAACGCCGGCTGAGCCGGCCCTGCCCCGTGGGACGGCTGCTCAAAACCAGTGCCGCCACGTCCCCAGTGAGGGCGGAGCGGCCTCTGCGACTTCGCAGAGCTGAGTCCTGACGTGGGGCCCCCGTGGCGGGGGGGGCGTCTGTGCTCTCGCCGGCTGCTGGCCTCGGGAGCTGGCAGGGGACGGGGGGCGGGGGGGAGGCCCTTCCCACCGGCCAGGCCGGCGCCCGTGTGGCCCCTCAGGCCCTGCTGCCTGCTGTCTTCCAGCTGAGCGGGGCGCACCTCCCCGACTGGGGCTTCCGGCAGCTGGAGGTGGTCGGGGAGAAGCTGTCCCGGGGCCTGCACGAGAGCACCATGTGGACCGTGGAGGAGCACCGCTATGGCCGGAGTGAGCCTGCCCACTCGCGTGCTTGACCGGGGGTGGGGGCTCGTGGGGGACGCCGGCACCGGTGCTCGTTTGGGTGTGAGCGGAGCCCCCCTCCGCTCACTGCTCTGCCCCCTCCCTGCTCTGACCGAGCGCAGGCGTCACGTGGGCTGTCCGTGGCGGGCAGGGCTTCCCACGGGCCCAGAGACCCCAACGTGCGTGCGGCGGTCTCAAGTAGGGGGAAAACGGGTGCCACAGTGCGCAGCCTCGCGAGGCAGGAGAGCCGGCTCCAGGCCAGCCAGCAGCCGTGCTGAGCATCCGGCCCTCATCCCGCTCATGCCGTCTGGGTTCTGGAATGTTCCGTCAGGCCAGGAGCAGAAGGAGAGGGAGCTGGAGCTGCATTCCCCCGCTCAGACGGACGTCAGCAGGAACCTGAGCTTCTTGGCCCGGTTCTCGGAGCTGCAGGTGGCGTGCGGCGCGGTGGAGAGGGGGTGACTCTGTGACTCTGCCCCTTGGGAGTGGGTGGGGCTCCTCCCTGCCCAAGGTCAGCCTTTAAACTGGGACCTGGCTGGGCACCGAAGGAGCGGGCCCCTCCCCCCACTCCAAGGGACGTCTGGCGCTGTCCGGTCCGTCCCAGGCCTGCGGCTCTGCGGGCCCGTGGCCAGGGTCCATTCCGATGCCCCCAGAGGGGCCCCGGTCAGTATGACGGAGCCCTAGAGCCATCAGAGCCGGAAACTCGGGGGCCCTGATCTGATTGTACCCCAGCGCCCAGTGCAGTCACTTCGTCCACGAACGAGGTGACGAGCCCCTGGGGTGGGCCACCTCGCAGGGCCACCAACAGGTTAGAAGTCAGGTCTCCTGAGAGCGAGTGTGCCTGCCAGGCCGGCGTGCTGCCTCTGCTGCACGTCCCCCCTGGACTTGAGGGCCCCCCCACCGCCGTGCGAGTGCCCGGGTGACGGAGGGCCGGGCTCCGTTGCAGTGGAGGATGCTGACGGTGAGGAGCGACGACTCGGAGCACAAGTACAGCTCCACGCCACTGGACTGGGTCACCCTGGACACCAGCATCGCCTACTGGCTGCACCCCAGGACCAGTGTGAGCCCCGGAGCCCCCCCACCCCCGGCTTCCCGCCCCTCCCCCACCTGGGCTTCCTCCCAGCGCCCTCCGCGGCCCTCGCAGTTTTCTCGTGGGGCCGCAGTCCCGCCAGACGCCGGGAGTGAGGTCCTGTCTGCGTGTCGAAGGAAGCGAGGCTTTGCGGCCTTTCTGGGAGCGCGCTGTTGCCTTCTCCCGGCGAACGGGGTTTTGAAAGCATCCCCGCTCCGCGCTCTGCTGGGCGCCCGGCCAGGACGCTCGGCCGCACTCGTGGGGCGAGGCGAGCTGACGGCGCCCACTGTCCTCCCCGCCGCCCGCCGCTGCAGCGCTCGCTGCGGCTCTGCGTCCGCCCTCTGCGCCGTGAAACAGGGTCCCGGCTACTCCTGGGGGAGACCAGTCAGCGCTTTCTGGACGGCCCGCCTATCTTTGCGGGGGGCTGGGGGTGCGCCCTCGACGCAGGTGACGCAGGTGACGCATGCGGCGCTGACAGCGCCCCCCTGCGGCCCGCAGGCTCAGATCCACCTGCTGGGAAATGTCGTGATCTGGGCGTCCGCCGGCTTCGCCACCGCGCTCTACGCCCTGCTGTCCTGCTGGTACCTGCTCAGGCGCCGGAGAAACATCCGTGACCTTCCCGAGGGTGAGTGCGGCTGCGCCGGCTGGTGCCTCCGCCGCCCGGTTCTGGCCGCAGCTCCGCTCGCCGGGCAGCGCTGCCTTCGGGGGCATCTCTGTCTCTGCATCCGGGGGCCTTACGTTGTTTCTGTCCCCAGAAACAGAATGTTGCCGTGCAGCTCCCACGCGGCCTTGGAGGCTTCTCCGGGGAACTGCGGGTTCTGGGGTGGAGAGTGGGGGGGGGTTGCTCCGGGAGCCCAGGGCAGTAGCAGCCTCGGTGCCGAGGACAGAGCTGCCACGCGTGGCTTTGCTGGTCACAGAAACCGCTTAAAACCATCCTGAAGCAGAAAAGGAAGGCGTAAGCCCCAGGTCGGGCAGGGCCCAAAGGCACCGCCTCTCTGCTGGGCCCCGGGAGCTGGTCCGTCCCCCCCACTGGCGGCGCAGCCCTCCCCAGCTCCGGGCGGAGCCAGGCTGGCCGGATACGGCTGATGCGTGGTGGCCGACAGGGACCGGGGCTAGCACTCACAGGCTGGGCCTGGCCCCCAGGGGCTGTATTTCTCAGGGGGAGGGACAGTGAGGGCCCAGCAGGCAGCTTCAGGGTTCTTACCCAGTCTGTTCTTCCTCCAGAGGTGGCGGGGAGAGGGGGGCGGGGGGCGGGGGCGGGTGAGTGAGCCAGCGCGTCCTTCTGGACCGGCAGAGCCATGCAGGGTCTGTCCCCAGTGGGCAGCGGAGGCTTAAGTCCCCGTCCCCACAGACTCCTGGCTGCGCTGGGTGCTGGCCGGGGCCCTGTGCGCCGGCGGCTGGGCGGCGAACTACCTCCCCTTCTTCCTGATGGAGAAGACGCTCTTCCTCTACCACTACCTGCCAGCGCTCGCCTTCCAGATCCTGCTGCTCCCCGTGGTCGTGCAGCAGGTCGGCGAACACCTGTGCAGGTGCGGGCCTCGGCAGCTGGGCCCCTGGGTGACAGTTCAGTGTGATGGGGAAGGGGTTAAGTTCACAAGAGGCGCAGACGAGGTGCCACAGGTTTGGAGGACGAGGCCGCGGCTGTCTGGGTGGTGGAACCGCCGGTGCGGGTGGGGAACGGGAAGGCCGGGGGGACTGGGGAAGGCCGGGGGGAAGGACAGGACCCGGGAGACGAGGGTGTGCTCCCCACCAGCTGCTGGCTGTGGGCCGGGCTGCGTGGGGTGCGGAGGACCTGAGCTGGAGAGCTGTGTGAGTGTGAGCCACCCCCGGCAGCCAGAGCCAGGGGCAGGGACTTAAGCCTCCAAGGGCCGGGGTGGGGGTAGCGTGAGGGCACTGGCGTCTGAGGTCAGGTGGAGCAGCAGCTGCGGAGGCCCGAGGAGGAGACAAGTGGGAAAGGTCGGGCTTGGTGCGTTGGGGGAGGGGTGTTGTGGTCAGGGCCCCCAGGTTGTGGAGGCCAAGACGGCATCTCTCGGGTGGAGGAGGAGGAGGAGGAAGGCTCGGCCTCCCGCACAGCCTGCTCTGCCCCGCGCCTGCAGGTCCAAGCTGCAGAGGAACCTCTTCGGCGCCCTGGTGGTGGCGTGGTACTCCGCCGCCTGCCGCGTGTTCGCCGTGCTGCGCCCGCTGACCTACGGGGACACGCCCCTCTCGCCCAGCGAGCTGCAGGCCCTCCGCTGGAAGGAGAGCTGGGACATCCTGATCCGCAAACACTAGCGGGACCTGGCCACACCGCCTTTGGGGACGTGCTGCCCACGGGCGCGGCTCAGCTCCTCTCTGGTCCGGCTCCCGGCATGGCCCTGCACTGAGCGCCTCCTCTCCAGCCACGTCTGTTCTTGCCCGTGTGACCACACACATGCCGCGCCCACCAGTTCCTGGGAGCCCCGTCAGGGCAGGCTGAGCACTGAGCGGCCAGCGGGGGCTCGGGGACAGAAGGAAGGTGGGGAGTGGGCAGTGAGGGGCGTTGTTCGGGTCGACGGGACAGGGCCCGACTCCTGCAGACGCAGGTGTGGTGGCGGGACTGGTCCTCCCTCCCGAGCACCCACCGCACCCCGGAGTCGGTGCCTCTGCCCCGAGGAGGCCTGGGGCTGCCCTGGGACGGTGTGGTGTGGAATGAGCCACCGGAGTGACTGGCAGAGCCTGCCGTGAGCCCCCGCCGGGCTGCTCCGAGGTAGGAGCGTCGTCCACGCCCCGAAAGGTCACAGGTTTGATCCTGTCGGGGCATGCGCCTGGGCTGTAGGTTCAGCCCCACCTGGGGTGTGTCCAGGAGGCAACCTGCCAGTGCTTCCCTATCTCCTGTCCTCTCCCCAAAACCAACATCCTCAGGTGAGAATCAGAACGAAAACTGCCCCCAGGAGACGGCTGCCGGGCCAGCTCCTCCCCCTCGCCCGGAGTCGGCCTCATCTGGTGCAATGAAAGCCGGACAAAGCGGCGTTTGTGTGGGTGTGTTTATTGGTTCCCTTTCCAGGAGGGCACGGGCACTGGGCGGGGCTGGCACGGCCATTGGAAACCAGCCCCAGGGCTTGGCTGGTGTCGTGTGCCCGTAACCGCCCGGCAGAAACCCGAAGCGCCCGTGCCATTTGGCCGGCGGCGATGGGAAAGGTCACTTTCCCAGACAGCCACCCTGTGGGAGGGGAGGCACGGCAGGCTGGTGAGGTGCACACCCGGACGAGGGGGGCACGCCATGCGGAGGGGAGAGCTCCGAGGCTGCGCCAGGGGAGGCCTGTCTGGACGGCCCCCGGGCGCAGGGACCCATCTGCCGGGGCCAGGCGGGCCCGGGGCTGGGCGAGTGAGACGCTGCCTGCCGTCCGATGCCGCTGGGGAAGCACGTGTCCCCGGAGCTGCCTCCCCGGCCCCGGCTGGGAGGGAGGAGACGGCTCTGGGTCACGGAACTGGGCCAGCCAACCCTGTTAACCAACATGGTGTTACAGAACAGAACGACACAACACACATGGATACAGAACACATAAAAAGGGGGTTTTATGTCTTCAAACTTTCAGCTGTACGCATGTGAGAACCGGATCGTACTAGAAAAAGTGGCCTGCTGGGAGATTGCTGTCCCAACACCACAGCCCGTGCGTGCCAGCTGCCGCCCCCGCCCCCCACGCCAGACACGCCGGTGTCTCATCCCGGCAGCGAACGGCACCGGCCACTCTGGCACCGCTCCCTCCCTGTGGCTGGACACGCACCCTCCCCGCACAGGGAGGACGTGGCGCAAACATTGCCGTGTCCCACAAAACTGAGCTGGGACATTAGCCCAGGTGTCCCCATCACGGAGGACCCCCTGACCCTCCCCCTTGGCCGTCCCAGACGCCAGGGAAGCAGTGGGTGTGTTGGGGGGGGGCAGCTCCAGGGGCCCCGCCCGAGGCCGCGCAGCGCGGCTCAGTGCGGCCTGCTGCTGGGCTCCAGGTGCGAGCGCTTGCCGGCGGCCAGCACCCGGGGGTGGTCTCCCGGCTCGGGGAGCGCCCTCTTGCAGCTCCGCCCGTTGGCCCCTCCACGCTGCCACTTGCAGATGTCCCCGTTCAGGATGTCCTGGATGTGCTGCACGATCAGGTTGATGGCGACTGCGGCAGACAGGCGGGAGTGTGTCAGTGACACCCCCCACCCCCCACCGAGAGCACGGGGCGAGGCTTCAGGGCAGCTGGCCCTCGGTGGCTGCACCCACCAGGGAATCGGCGAACAGTGACTCCGCCAGCCGTGGGTGCCTTTTGCCCCCGGCTTTACCGAGGTGCAAGTGACGTAACATCCTCGGGGGTCAGCGGGGATGGGGCCGCGCCCACCCGGGGCCCTGGGAGTGAACGGGCTGGGCAGCCTGTGGGGCCCGTCCTTACCCATGTTGTCGACCCCGCGAGGGATGATCACGTCGGCGTACTTCTTCGTCTGCAAGGCCAACGGGGGGCTGGTGAGGGTCTGTGCGCCCGCCACCCCGAGGGGGCATCGGGCTGCTCGGGGCTCGCTCGGTGCGGTGGCCGGGGAGCAAGCCCTGGGTCTCTGGGCACCTGCGTCACCGGCAGGAGGGGACAGGGACTCGGGTGTGAGGGGCGGCAGGGACCGCCGTCTGTGCTGACAGCTGGGTTCACAGGGCCGAGCAGCGCTCGGCCTTCTCCGCGCACGTGCACAGCACGCTTCTCTGCGGCTCGGGGCCTTCTGCGAGGACAGCCCCGGGGGCCCACGCAGGACGGCGTGGGCGTGCAGCCCACGTGCCGAGCTCAGCTCGCCGTCCCAGCCTGTGCTGGGGGAGGGGCGGGTAGGACCCAACCAGCACCCTAGGGGGACGGACGCACCTGAGTCAGGCAGAGTGGGCTCGGGGTGAGGGAACGGTGTGGCCCGTGGGCGGACCTAGGAACTGCTGGGTGCTGCTGGAATGCGAACGTGGGCCCAGGAGGCAGGCAGGGGGACCCTCTGCTCCCCTGAGTGGGCTCACTGTTGGGGGGGCGTGTCTCCGGAAGGGGAGATGGGGCACCCCAACGCGCGCTAGAGGCGGGTACCGGCAGGCAGAACTCCTCGAAGGCGGGCTTGACGAAGGTGGTGTACTGGGTCAGGATCTGCTCCAGGTCCCTCCCGCGGCTCACGTCCCGGAGAACTGCGGGGACAGCGGCCAGGCGGCCACCTTCGAACCTCGGGCCGCGCGCAGGACCCCGACCCCGCCCCCCCCACAGCTGGGCGCAGGGAGGCCGAGCCCACCTCACCTCTGCGAGACAGCCTGACGTCGGAGTCAGTGTCCACGAAGAGCCGCAGGTGGAACATGTCCCGGATCTCCTGGCTGTAGAAGACCAGGATGCCCTCGAACAGGACCACGTCCGCAGGGTAGACTACCGTGGTCTCGGGGAGCCTGCAGGCGAGAGAGCGGCACGTGGGCCCCGCTGGGGACGGTGCCCCCCCACGCACTGCATCCCCGGAGAAGCGCCACGGTGGAGGAGCGGTGTCCACGGACCCCGCGGGCCAGGGCCTGCTGCAGGGCGGTCTCTGTGGGGGCCGGAGGGGAGGCTCCCGGGGACCGGCAGCTCACCTCGAGTGGGTCACAAAGTCATAGGTGGGGACCTCGACGGTTTTGCCCTCCACGATGTTCTTCAGAGTTTGGTGCATCAGGTCGTTATCAAAAGCATCTGCAGTGACGGGACAAGAGGCAAGACAGTCCAGTGTCCTGCACTGCCTCTGGCCACAGCCCCGTGCTGGTGGCACCAAGGACCCTAAGGAGCACGCAGACTGCGAGCTGCCCTGGGCAGAGCCCCCTGCAGTCCCGAAAACCACAGGGTGGCCCTGTCCTTGCTGACCTCAGGCAGTGCCACCTCCCGGGCTGCCATCCCACCCAGAAGTCCAAACACAGGGGTTCCCTGATCAGCGAACACTGGTCAGGCGTCTGCTTCCCTGTTTCTGGGAAATGACCACAGACTGTCGCTGGCTGGGCCTTCTTCCCTTGGGTCCCCAGGAGGAGAATGAGGACGGGGGTCAGCCACGCCACAGGGGAATTTCCGGCAGGGGCAGGCAGGCTGCATCCAGCCCCCGAGCCCTGTCTCCACCTGTTCCCCTGGCCCCGGCCCTCAGGAGCTTTGCCCCAGGGCAGGCGGGGAAAGGAATGGCCGCACACAGTGGTGTGTAGAAAGGCAGTGGGCAGCGGAACGGGTTTCTCCACCTTTGCAGGGCAGAGCAGGGGTCCCAAAGGCCCCTCCACGGGGCAGACTTCCTGACTGGCTCCCACCAAGGAGTTTGCACAGTGCATCAGGCTGCACCTCGGGGTGTCTGGGTGATTTCCTAGGGCCAGTGGGGGTCTCCGTGCACCCCTGGGCCCAGTCCCCACAGCCTGCCCTCCTGCCCTCCCTGCTCACCCCAGCGTCTCTAGATCTACCTGGGTGGTCGAAGTTAAACTGCCCCTTCAAGGCCTTGGCCTTCTGCTCGGCTGTCAGCACCTTGTAGAACCTGTCCTGGCTCAAGATGACCAGCTTGCGCTGCCGGTGGTCTACTTCGTTCTGCCCCAGCAGCTCCATGATCTTCTCACACACAGTGGACTGGGACACAGAAACGGGGTCCCCGCCTGAAACCGCACCTCCTGCCTGGCTCGCGTCTTTCCTGGGTGCTTGTGCGCGGAGCAGGCTCCTGAAGACACTGGCCCACCAGCTCGCCGGGCCAGCGGCGGGAGGGCCGGGCATGGCGGGAGGGCCGCGGCGTACTGGCGGGCGCAGCACGGGGCCGGGACCCCGACGACAAGCGTCCCATCCGTTGCCCGCGCCCCGGCCCAGCCCCGGTCCAATGGGGCCGCAAGCGCTCCGCCTCCGCCCCGCCCACGCCCGGGAGAGGGCACCTCGGCAGCCGAGGGCTGGGGTCTCCCCTCTGGACAGAGAAAAAACCGCCCCGCGGGCTGTCTCGGGGGCCGAGGGGACGCAGCAGGCCCCGCCGGGCCGCGCAGCCCCTTACCTTGCCGCTGGCGGTCCCGCCGCTCACCCCGATCAAGAAGGGCCGCTGGTGAGGCCGGTCCGCCTCGGGCGCGGCGCCCCCGCAGTCGCCGCCTCCAGCCGAAGCCATCTCCGGCCCCGCTTGTCCGCATAGGGTTCCTCGCTGCCGTTGCTCCGTGAACCCAGCCGGCCCGACCCCCTTCCCGAGGTCGGAGACGCGTCCGGGGAGCTCCGCCGCGCGGCGGGTGCGCGCGGGGCACGGCGGGAGTTGTAGTTTGAGGCGACCGGCCGCGCTGCGCGTGCGTGAGTCCGGGCCGGCCGCGGCCTGCGGGCGGGGCCCGAGCGTCCTTGACCCCGCGAGCTGCAAGTTCGCTGCAAAGGACAAAAGCTGTTCAGCAGCGCAGCCGGCTGCGAGAGTCTCGCGGCCTCCCCAGCAGAGGACTGTGGCGGGGAAGCTTCCCTCCATCCACAACTCCCGTGCCAGGGCCGTCGGGAATGATCTCCCAGGATTTCAGGGCTTGGGTGGGGATACCGGTCGGCACGTGGGACTCCTGAGGTCTGTGGCCCGGGTGGGAAGGTGGAACCGCCCCGCGTGCGGGCACCCTGAGAGCGGGACATCCACCTCCGCACCTAGTCGGTGCCAGCCGCTCCTGCCTTCGCCCCACGGGGCCAGACCCCTCCCCTAGCCGCCGAGGCTCCCCTCCTCCCTAGCCCACCCTCCACATCCCACCACTGCCTGGCTGGCTTCCCCCAGCCTCCCCCTCTGGAACCTTCGGTTTCTCCCCACTGTCTTCTGCAGCAAGCGCCTCCTGCTCTCTTCAGCCTGCTGCCCGCGGCGGGCAGGTGCCATCGGATGACTGATTTTTAGACTCACGAGCTAGGCAGAGCCTCATGCACTGAGCCAAGAAGGCAGAGGCGGGTCCGTCGGGTTCCACCCGTGCCCCAGTGCCTGGCGTGGAGAAGGCAAATACCGATGGGCTCGAATTGTAGATTGCCCCCAGGCATCGAAACCCATCGCGGCTCCAGCGCCCACTGCACTGGC